AGTAAATTTGTAAAAAATGTACTTGTAGCTAAAAATATTAAATAATAAAAAATATAATTAAAACTACTTCCACGATCCCAGTGGCTAACCCCAACCCCTCACAACAATAATACTGGTTAACAGTTATTGAGGTAATTGAATTGGTGAGTTTTATGAATGTTCAATGCAAATATGTCTTCTGTTCAAATGATTCTTTTTTTTAATAATGAAGAAAGAAGACATTGAAGAAAAATAGAGAAAGTCAAATTCTACATACAAGAGGTAATAATAATATAATAATAATCGTTATTGCCTTTTAATAATACAGGTATTGCATAGGCCTACCATGATTCATTTGCAGTATGTAAATTATTGAGCGGAGTGAAGCGAAGCGAGCGAAACTCTTATACTACACTCCTGCTTTTGTTTTACAAATACTCCTCCTGAAAGGCTGAAGCGATCTGCACGAAATTTGGCACAGTCATAGTAACCAACCATATGGGAAGGTTAAAGATATAAATCTGATATGTTAATAATCGGACCACAGGACTTATATACTTAAACCAATAATAATGGTTGCCGGAATTAGGCTGATGCAGCACCATATTGCGTTTGGATACTGTAAATAGCTTTTACAGCATTTTATGTGAGCAAGACGTGCCATTTGCAGTCTACAAATAGGAATTCCACTAATGTGAACCAAATATAACACTCATAGTTTCGATACTGCAATTAGACAATTCGTTGACGTGAACCCGACGTATCATTGACTTTGAATACTGCAAATAGACATCCCATATAAGTGAAACAGAAGTAGGCCTAAGCCTACCATTGACTTCAGATACTGAAATTAGGCATTTTATTTATGTGAACAAAATAAATGGACCATTGATTTAGGATACTGCAAGTAGACTATTCATTTACATGTACCATTGAGTTTGGATACTACAAGTAAACAATCCGTCTACGTGAACCATACGCACTATTAACTTTAGAATCTGTAAATGGGCATTCCATTTATGCAAACCAAATATATCATTGGCATTGGATACTGCAAGTAGACATTTAATTTATGAGAACCAGATGAAGCATAGAATACGGTTCCTGCAAGTAGACAATTCATTCACTTAATCCGATGACTTATGATCGACTTTGGATACCTACTACTGCCAATAGGCATTCTATTTAAAATGCGAACCAAATATATCATTGACATTGAATATGATGGCTCCGCTCAATATTGCAAGCAGACAACTGCATTGTAAACCTAGTGTTATTCTTATGGGACAAATTTAAAAATGTTTTTAAGTATTTTATAATTACTACTGATGGGAATCGTCTAGAATTTTAATGGTGTCTTCCCACTGTTGTCATACTTATTTGTGCAAAATTTAAACTCTATAAGTGCGACGGTTCTTGAATTTTTGGTGCAAACACACAGACACACACACACTCACACACTCACTCACAAGCGGACAACTTTTCTCCGATTCCGCTAGACATGATACTTAGATTCGTTCACTTCGTTCACTCATCTATGATCTGATTTTCAAAACAATACACATCATAAATACCCCAGCAGCAGCAAACCTGCAGACTAAGCGAATTTCAACTTGTCTGATTACATTTTTACTAAAATATTTCCATAAATAAGACATATTTATTCCCAATTTAAATAACATTATACAGTACTAGTGGAACCCCGTCGAAATCGACGGTTAATCTTGAGGTTTTATTTAAATTCAGCTAACTGCGATTGATAGATTGAAAGTCATTAAAATCTTAGTTAAATGAAGGGAGGATAAGCAATAATAAGTATGACGATTGTGTTCTCTAAAAAATGTGATTGATGAATTCGTTTAACACTATATTTCCTCTATCAGCATATTAAATCAGTTTTTTTGTAATTGATAAAAATATCTGATTCTCTAGAAAGCAGTAACATTCTTACTTCGATCCCAGCAATTATAATTCCTTCTCTTGCCACATCGACCCATGTATTTAATCATCCTGTTCTTACTTGATAATTCATTAACTTTTGGGTAGTTTTGCCTTAGCCATATCGATCTCATAAAGCTGTGCATGTATTTCGTGGATGGAATAAACCATAATTGTAGGAAATTTGATCACAAATCTTGAACATTTGCGCAACCAAATCCATAACCTAGGTAAGCTTTGGTATAAGCTATATAAGTTATATACGTATAATTTTATATAAGTAAGTTTTATATAAGTATAAGTTATATACCATAAGCCTTGGCAACAAATTTTGCAAAGCGATGAGATGTGATGAGACTGTTGTGTTTCCGAATGTTTTGTATGTAGTGAGGCTTAGAGCTTAGATGCGTTGTTCGACCTAGCTACATGTGTACATCAAAGTAAAACCCGTGTACACATTTCTTTTAAATACAGTACCTGAATTGACATTAGTTCACCTACTTCACCAAAACCATAGATGAAACATACTCCGTAGTTAGTCTATTCCAAAACTTGAACACTGCTCTCATCCTCAACGTACTCATCTGTGACACAATTTTCAACCTGATTATCAAAAACCTTTTTACCAATAAATGAATCTCTGGTGTTCTTTCTTGAATTTAAAAATAAATGGTGATTGAAAGTAGGAAAAAAGGCAATTGCTAACCTTACAATATATATAAGCTAACCCGATAAGGAATAGTTATATGTTCCTTTGAAATTGATATACTGTATCACACTTATTTCATAATTTAACATTTAACATAAAATTCTTCTAACCAAACTCCAGCTTATAGGATTCTCTGACAATTCATTAAAATGGATGAGATCATATCTTCAGGGCCGAAAGCAGTGTGTGTGTCATGACAACTTGACGTCCGACTGGAAACATGTTCCATGTGGAGTTCCTCAGGGTTCAATTCTTGGTCCACTGTTTTTCACAATATACATAAATGACATAACTACAGTACTACACCACGTAAAGTTTCATTTTTATGCTGACGACTTGCAAATCTACTCTCATTTTAATTAAAGTCAGTCATACGAATGAAACTATAAACTTAATGAATCAAGACATCGACAACATTGCTCACTGGGCAGCAAAGAATGGACTAAGACTCAATCCTGACAAAACAAAGCCAATCATCATAGGTCACCCACGGTTACTTAGCACACTTGACGTAGACAATTTACCAAAACTTACCGTGAACGGAACCACTTTGACATATCAAGACAAAGTAAAAAGTCTTGGTTTGACATTAAACCGTACATTAGACTGGACTGACGTGGTGGTAAATACTTGTAAAAGAGTATTTGCCGCCATTCACACACTGAAAAAGATGCAACGACTCCTACCGTTTCATATTAAACTCTTACTGGTCAAATCACTCGTATTTCCACACTTCAACTATTGCAACACGGTGATTAATGACATGACTGTGGCTTTGTCAACAAAATTACAACGTGTTCAAAATTACTGCATTAGATTTTTGTTCAATCTTAGACGTGACGATCATTTCACACCATATTATATAAATGAATCAATTTTGAAATTAGATGACATCAGAAAAATCCGAATACTTTCAATTACTCATTCAGCCATTAATCTTGGAACTCCAAATTATCTAGCCAACAAGTTTGAATTTTTGCGTGAAAGGGGCGCAGGGAATACTCGCTCTGGCTCGTCCATGCTGCGTATTCCTCATCACAGGACGACTCTTTATAACAAATCTTTTGTAGTAACTGCATGCCGCCTTTGGAACTCTGTACCTTATCCCATTAAATCCTTAGAAAGCCGATCCCGACTGACGGTGGCGCTGAAAGAATATTACCTTAACCGGATGGCCGTGGCGTGGCGGGATGGCGTGCATTAGGCCTGGGTGCAGCAGAGGGTGTATGGGTGTGTGATTGTGTGTTAGGGAAATACATTTATGTAATGTTGTTACACCTATTTGTTTATTTCAATCATTATTGTTTTATTTTGTTAATGTTTATCAGTATTGTTAGTTTTTTAGAGGTTAACTGTAAGAAAGGACCGTGAGGTTCTAAGTTCGCCTCAATAAACAAGGATTTTCATTTCATTTCATTTCATTTCAAACTGGTCAATGGCTTCATCGACTGTCCCGCACTTCTCAAACTTCTGAACTTTAGGCCGGGTAGATCTTCAAGATCCAGGGACCTCTACTCTCGTGAGCACCTCAGTACCAACTATCATCTCTACAGCCCATTGCCCAGAGCCCAACGTCTCATCAATGCTCTACCTGATGACATTGACCTTTTTAGTATGTCGCTTGCTTCCTTCAAGAAAAGGGTGGTGTCTTCGAAGTGGTGAAGTGATGATCTATCTGTGTTTTGTGCCAGCGCCTCTCTGTATACGCAAATTTCACAACTGCCCTTTCTTGTTATGTTAAACATCAAGGCAGATTTTTCACATTTTTCTGTTATGTTTGGTTTGTTGATTTGCTTGTTTTGGTCCATGCAATATTGTTGTTTTGTTTTTGCACCCAAATTAGCTACCTATCAAAATTTTCTTGAATTAGAGATTATTATTGAAACTTCTTCCTGTTGTTAACTTTTATTTGTTGTTGCTATTTATTGTTATTTGTTATATTGTTAATTATTGCTGTCAAATGTTATTGCTTGTTATACTGTTCTGAATTGTTTCTCATTTTGCATCTGTCATTTTTCTTCAAATTGTATCTAATCTAAATCTTCTTATGTACTGGCGTCAGCCGTTGGTCTATAAATAAATAAATAAACTTAACTTGATTGTCAAATTAATTTTTTTCTAAATTTTACACCTTGCGGTTATCTAAGACCCTGTAGGCCTAGTTGTCCTTTACACTTATTGACAATGAGCTATTCTTGTGTACCCAAAAATAAAATGGTACACAAGAACTACCTATCATTTTCCACACTAACCACTTCAAGTTGTGCTTGTTAGCTTGTTACTTCTTAAAATGATTTTTTTAGCTACCCCATTGTTTTGGTTTACTGTATCTTGTTTTATAAATTATAAATTATACTTTACATAATGTTTACAGACGGAGAATGTTCTGCTAGATATTGCTATAGAGGTTGCCAAGTACCTCTCGCCTCGTGATATATCTTCCTGTTGTGCTGTATCTCGTCACTGGCGAGAAGTATTCGGTACCGATCAGGTAATTATCCTCAGTTTATTAGGAGATTTTAAGCTAAACCAAAAGTAAGTGAAACACTAGTTGTACCTCATCAATTAACTGTTACTCTGATGGTTTACTGATTAAAAGTTAAGTGAATGAATTTGGGTGGCGTCGTCCTGTAATCCAGCTACTAGGAGGTCACGAATTGTGGATATTTATAGGCATGCACTGTAGATGCAATACTCCCTGGTGTGGATTAACGTCCGCACGAGTGAGTAATACGACTATCCGCAGTACTATCCTGATAATTAGACCAATTCGTATATACCATGGCAAAAAGTGGTTCGGATTCCACTCTAAACTGTAGGCCCCTTAGTTGCCATTAGCTGTATTCGCTATTAATTAACAGCTGTGTCTAAGGATTATGTCGGCCTTAGTCACTACAAGACTACAAGATCACGCCACTCATCCCACACTCATCTCCATTCATACTTGGCTTAAAATACCTACATTTGTATGGTCGCCATTTCAAAGAAAAGTATAAGTATAGAGTATTTAATGAAAAGCTAAAATTATTATTCTAGAAATTAAATGGGGGATTTTTTAAATGGGGAAGTTAAATGGAGTAATCTTAGTTCAACTAAGTAATTAAATGATTGATTGATTGATGTTATTGGTTGAAACATATTCTGGCATTGTTTATTATGATCAAAAGTTGCATAACATCTCATTTTAAAGCTATTAAAACCACGGATGTGATTTGATCTCTACTTTTTAATTGTAATTATTATTGTTTTGTCAAACTACATAAATATATTGACTTTAACTATGATTTTATTCAACCTCTAAAACAAAGGTTCTAAAAATCCAAAAAGCAATTTACACGGGAAATATATTTAAGAATCACATAAAATTTTCTGCTTGGTAATTAAGCTTTCGGTGCATGATTAATGTGCTTCAACAAGAATGCGTTTTTGCTGATCGGCGGTCAGACAACCAGTGTTTTGCCTAGCATCTGATTGTCAACGGCAAAATTCTGTTCCTGCGTATGATAATAATAACAATTACAATTAAAAAGTAGATAGCAAATCACATTCGCTGTTTCAATAGCTTTAAAATGAGATATTTTTCAACTTTTATCTTAATAAACAATGCCGTAATATGCTTCAACCTCATTAACATCATCGTTATGGGCAAAAAATCCAAGATGGCCGACAGTCCTGCCAACTCTTAAGCAGTTATCGCAAGGATGTATTTTTCTTATTCTATATCTCAGTAAGTTTTTTAACTTATATATTAGAGTAGGGGTAGGTAAAAAATGCACTAAACATTTTGGGCATTATTCAATATTAGGTATGCTAGCTCTTGATTTATTTAAGTTCTTAATAATTATGTCTAAAACTTTAAACAGTCACCAAAATTATTCTTTCTCTTTTTGGTGGTTCTTGCAAAATATTTTCACTCAACTTTATGTAAATTGTTTTCATTAGGTTTTCAAACTGTTCTAGGCTACTTCAGCAAATATTAAATGCATGTGATCACATACAAAATAACTTGCCAGTTAGTTGTCAAAGAAAAATTAAAACCTAATGTAAAAAATAAAAATAAAATTAAAATTAAAAAAAAAAATAAAAAAAAATTAAAATTAAAATTAATGTATTATGTATACAATCCTCTTAATTAGACAGAAAATTAAACAACTGTAAACCTGACTAAAAAAGTTAGCCTAATTACTAATTAGCATAAAGTGGCAGAAAAGTAATTCTGTCATTCTCTGAATTAAATCACTGACAACACACAATAACTTACTTACTTACTTACTTGATACTTGATGATGTCCCACTAGCATCGCTCCTGCGACGTGGTCGTCAAATGGGTAGATAAACAATAATAGGCCTAATTGAACAAATCTTCTACTTTAAAATAGGCCGCTTCACATAAATATTCTTTTAACATCTTCTTAAATTTATTGAAATTTTGCTCTTGGATAATGTTCCTTGGCAGTGAGTTGTAGATCTTGACACTACTAAAATATGGGCTCTTGCTGGCCAAAGTTGAGTTAACTTGGGGTACATGTACTTGATTAGCTCTTCTCGTGTTGTACTGATGGACCAGATTGTTTGTGAAAAAGATGTCCGGATTATTTCTCACCAAGATGGCAGATTCTAAAATAAATAGTGATGGGAGGGTTAAAATTCCAAGGTCCTTGAATAGGGGCCTACTGTGAGCAAGACGTTGAGCACCACACATTCTCCTAATAATTCGTTTCTGGAGGAGAAAGATCCTATTGGCCATGGTACTACCTCCCCAAAATACTATTCCATAAGATATTATACTGTGAAAACATCCATAATAAACTTTTAACAAAATGTCAGTCTGGACCAATTTCTGGAGCCTAGTAATTAAATTGATTACAGATCTTAATCTTGAAGCTATTGAATTAATATGTACATCCCACTTTAGATTTTCAGTTATGTGCAGGCCAAGATATTTTACTTTTTCACGGGAAGTGAGTGCAACCCCATCTAGCACTAGTTGAGGAGCTGGTTCAGGTTTTTTCCTATTGTAAAATTCTATAAGGTTTGTCTTATCAGAGTTCAAGATCAAGCAGTTTTCGTTACACCAATTTTGCATTTCAATTAGACTAGATTGAGTATCTTCAATAAGACTGACACGATCAGAGTTACAGATTAGGTGACATACATCGTCAGCAAAAAGCCACACATTCCCAGATGTTATGGAGCCAGGTAGGTCATTAACATAGAGCAAGAACAATAGAGGCCCTAGGTTTGATCCCTGTGGGACACCCACATTCATGGCAGGGGATGGAGCCGACTTATATGTGCGTAGAGTATTGTCATTCCCCAAATGCTTGAGTGATACGACCAGGTGGCGGTCTCTTAAATAAGAGAATATCCAGTGCAGAGGTCTTCCTGCAATTCCCAGGGAAAGTAGTTTACGAAGCAGGACACTATGGTTTAGTAGGTCAAAGGCCTTGGTCATGTCGTAAAACAGGCATAAAAGGCTCTCAGAAAGATCCAGGTGGTTATAGATGTTCCTCAGGAGGGCAAAGACAGCATCAGATGTAGACATATGTTTTCGGAACCCAAACTGACTCTCAGTCAATATATTATTTAATTCTATAAACCTAAGGAATCTCTTCAAAAAAATGATTTCAAATACTTTTCCTATACATGGTTGCACAGAAATCGGGCGATAATTACTAACGGCAAGTGGATCAGCCTTTTTATACACAGGTACTACTTTAGATGTTTTTAACTTTGTAGGAAAACAGCCAGTTTCAAAGGATTTATTTATTAAATTTGCGAGGGCTTCAATAACATTTTCATTACAAAGCTTGAGGAGGCTGCATGGTATCTCATCAACACCTGAACTTTTCTTGGATCCCAGTGAATTTACCACCTCCCTCACCTCAGCAACAGTAGCATGTGTGAGAAAAAAGCGTCCCTCACCTAAGTCAACAGGGAGCTCAGGAGCACAATTGTCATTTGCCAACCTAGAAATTTCCTCATAAAAGAACTCACAAAAGTGATTTACAATTGTTTGGGGGTTTGTCACAACAACATTATCAATTTTCAAGCTTAAGTTAGTATGTGTTTCATAATCTTCATCACAAAGTGCACGGACCACAGCCCATGACTCCTTACTAGTATTTTTTGAGTTTAGAATTCTATTACTAAAATAAGACTTTTTTGTCATAGTAACAAGAGACGAATGCTGCCGTTTGGCCCTTCTGTAGGCCCTTTTAACATCTTCTGAACAACCCTGCGACCTTGTGTCCCAATACATTTGCAAAAGAGTCTCATGCGAGAGTACAACATCATTACCAATCCAAGAAGAGCTAGGTTCATTTCTATTCTTACAGGTTAAGGCAGGAAAGCTTACATCAAAGATATATTTAAACAATTCATAAAAGTTATCAAAAACAATGTCTAGGCCAATATCTAAATCTTGCAAAATGCCAACATGCACCCAATCCTCATTTCTCGTTAATATTTGAAATGTGTCCAGAGTGGTAGCGTTAAATTTCCTCCGAAAGGTCCTGCGCTCTTTAATTTTAGCATCACTGTCACACAATACATAAACAGACAGATAGTGGTGATCAGAAACATAAGTTGGGTCAGCTCGGGGCGCATGAAACTCCTTGGCTATACAGTTGTCAACAATTAGGTAGTCAAGTTGAGTGATTGAATCACCACAAATTCTGGTAGGCCCCTTAAAAATACTGTTGAGGTTATGGATTTCAATCAGGTCCTCTAAAAAATCCCTTTCCCAAGAACTTTCAAGGTTATTTACATTTAAATCAGCACAAATATAAAAGGGATAGTCAAATTTGCTCCTCAGAACAGACAACAATAAATCAAGGCGGTCAACAAAATCCAGATAATTTTCTTTCATCGGGGTTCTATAAATTACAATTATAATAAACTGCAAATGTTTATATTTCAGTAGGCCCATACAAAACTCAAATGTTCCTTCGCAACAAATATTGTCTTGGTCACATATATGCAGAGGCTTTATACATAGCCTAGAGTCAGTATTTAAAAGCAATGCAACACCGCCACCTGTGCGGTTTGGTCTGTTGTAACAAGAAATTGTTTTGTAGCCAGAAACTTTGAAAGAATTAATCTTGTCATTGTTTAACCATGTCTCAGCAACACACAACACATCGCTTTTTTCCTTATGCAAAATAACTTCCAAGTCCTCAATCTTGTTAAAAACTGACCTAATATTAATAAAATCAAGCTTAAACCTAATATTACAGTTACGTATCCGAGGGCTAGATGAGCTAGGCCTAGGGCCTATTGCCCGTTTTTTGAGGCACTACCTTGAGAGTCAAGCCTATCTCTATCTTTGTTTTCAAGGCTAGGCCTAGACCAATGTCTGCGGTTACGAGGCGTCAAGAACCTAGTTATTAGAATTCCTTCAGGCCACAAGTCACTATCGAGCAGTTTCTCTGCAAGATCAAAAGGCACACCTACCTTAAATGACGAATAATCTTCTTTATTCTTAGTAGGAATCTGTTCACAGCGGATCTGAGTGCTCTCAATTTGGTCCAAGCTACTAATATAATCAACCAAATACTCGGCCTTTACACTGGGACCCAACCTAGAAATAAATAACCAAGACTTCCTCTCTGCCACAACAAGTGGTCCTGCAGATTTAGCTTTACCTATGATCGCTTTATTTCGCAACACGTTATGTTGTTTAGCAGGTACTAAACTTTTCCTATTAGGCCTAACCTGCTCATGTCCAGCATTACTATTTTCAAGATTCTTGAAGCGAGATTCCCTCTTGTTATGATTAGGCCTATTTACATTACGATCTTTTCTTAGTCGCTGAAAAATAAAACCATCATTTTCACCAAGATATTTACTTGCAACATCTTCCTTCAGACTAGTGTTAACATTTTTCACTACTTCAGAATAACTGTTTTTCAATCCCGATTTTGCCAGGCTTGCAGCTGATGCGGATCCGTCACTACTCTTCCCAGCTAAAGGACGATCACTTTCAGTAGACGTATTACCAACATTAGTTAACGTATTGTCGTTCTGGACTGGTTCATTTGGGTTTAAATCCGCTTCAATATCTAGTTCTTCAATATGAGTACGAATGGCAACCCTGCTCAAATCATGATGTTCTGTCAATGGTTCTGTCTGCACATCAATAATGACGTCATCTTCCGGTTTAGTCACATTTTTATTTAACCTGCAATTATTTTCGTCAATCATTAAATTCAATTTTTCATTTATAATCAAATGATTACTTGTCAATTCATTCAAAACGGAAAATATTTTGCCAACACATTCATAAAGGTTGCAATAGTCATCGATTGTCAAATTACAGGTTTTAATCTTGGCTAACCTTGCATCGCAATCCGTACAAATCCATCGTATTTTGTCACCAAGATCCTGGACAGCACGAAAATCATTATTTCCTAGCCCCGCACAAGTAACATGAAATACTTTTTCACATAATCCTTCACACTTAATACCGGGTTTAATTTTATTCACGGCTTTAGAACACGCACGACATGGATGCCGAACTGATCTATCCACCATCTTGATGACGTCCTTACTGATAGCATCCACAAATATGAGGAATGACCTTTCTCAGTGATTTGTAGGAATGATACCCCAAAATATTCCTTGTGCTAGAGTAAAACCATAGACTAACCAACACAAGTAAACTTCTCATCCCATTGTAAATGTTGAAGCTTGTTTTTCGTGTCTAGGTCATGTAAGGTGACACAGGGCGCAAGTGTCGACGAGGGTTAATTTCTTGATTTGAGCTTTACTGTTTGGTTATATAACTAGGATACGAGTTATTATTTATGGTTAGATCATATTATTTGGTTAGACGAGGTTTTAAATGACTGTAATAACAAGAAACAAATTGTAATCAAAACACGACCTCTACAGTTGGACGTATAGAAATAGCAATAGAATTGGCTTCCATAAGGATTATAAATCTACTAAGGGAGTATGTTACCTATATTGGATTGTTAGAAATTTTACTGTATTCAAGTGACATTTTCTTTCCTTGGAAATCAGTAAAAGTTCTTGACTTGGGCTAACTAGCATTAATAAATAATAATAATATTACCTTCTTCCGTTCCAAATGATTATAGTTAATTACGACGCGTTTCGTCAGCACAGTGACATCCTCAGGTATCCGCTATCGCTTCGTCTTGAATATATTAACATAAAACAGTCATTGCACAATACACAAACACACATTTAATACATTTAAAGACCGGTCGTTGTTGTCGTCGCGTTGGCCAAAACTCACGTACGCACATGACTAATTCTGATCATATTCTGGGCGACGACTGGGAATTAGTCAGAATAGTCCAGTCAATGAATGATCCAAAAGTAGGTGTAGAGTGCGTGAGCAGGTAACTAAGCGATTCCTTCAGAAACTTGTTCAGGGGGCTTAGGGTGTTAACATACCAAAAGTCCTGACTCCTAGGTGGTGAGCCAGTGGGTGGAGGGGGGAAAAATGTACGCATTTTGGGTTTTTTGATTATATCTCGAAAACTATCAACTTTTTGTATACTATAGTAAATTATAAAATTGAAGAAGATTAAATTTTCTACATGAAAAGTATATAATGTGTTTATTTTGGTTCAACAGATTACGAGTTATAACTTATTTAATTGATATCTTATTAAAATACTCCTTCCATAAGAAATACATGTAAATTAGTATGCGAAATGGGGCGAATCCTATCCGCCCAAAGGAAATATAACTGATATTCTGGAAATATTGACAAAATTTCCAGTAATTTGACCCTTTAATCATGAAATTTTGTCAAAAATTAAAGCGAGGGTGAGCGTTTAAAAATGGGATGATTTAAGGATTTTTTTATATTTCCAATAAAAAAACACCAAAACTCGAAATTTTGTTACCTCGCCCTCGCCTTAATTTTGGATCAATTTTAATGATTAAAGTGTCAAATTACTGGAAATTTTGTCAAGATTTCCAGAATATCATTTATATTTCATTTGGGCTGATAGGATTCGCCCCATTTCGCATACTCATTTACATGTATTTCTTATGGAAGAAGATTTTAATAAGATATCAATTAAATAAGTTATAACTCGTAATCTGTTGAACCAAAATAAACACATTATATACTTTTCTTGTAGAAAATTTAATCTTCTTCAATTTTATAATTTACTATAGTATACAAAAAGTTGATAGTTTTCGAGATATAATCAAAAAACCCAAAATGCGTACCTTTTTCCCCCCCTTTTTCCCCCCTCCACCCCCTGGCTCACCACCTAGGAGTCAGGACTTTTGGTATGTTAACACCCTAAGCCCCCTGAACAAGTTTCTGAAGGAATCGCTTAGTTACCTGCTCACGCACTCTACACCTCATTCCTTGACTGGACTAGAATTAGTCATGTGCGTACGTGAGTTGTGGCCACCGCGACGACAACAACGACCGGTCTTTAAATGTATTAAATGTGTGTTTGTGTATTGTGCAATGACTGTTTTATGTTAATATATTCAAGACGAAGCGATAGCGGATACCTGAGGATGTCACTGTGCTGACGAAACGCGTCGTAATTAAATATAATCATTTGGAACAGAAGAAGGTAACATTATTATTATTTATTAATAACTAACGTTCCAGTAGTAGGAAATGAATTCTAACTAGCATTGCTTGTACCTCGTTTACACAAATATTAAACTAAAATTATTTGTAGGTTTGGAAAGAACTGTGTGATTCAGAATTAGAAGAGCATCTGAGGACTACGCCGTGTGTTGTAGAGCCGCAGTTCTCTCTCCCTGAACAACACTGCTCTCTAGCTCCTCTCAGTCGGTGGCGAGCAGCTTACCTGCGGGAACAACATCTGTGGAAGAACTGGCGAACTGGCAACTGTAAAACTATGGAAGAGGAAATGGAAAACTTCAAAACTAAAACTTCGCCAGAGCTGTTTGTAACTAATGACTTGATAATGGTGTTTTATGGAGACTCAATACAACTGTGGGACTTGAAAACCTACCCTCCTACTCAAAAGGATAAACTACTGCTTGGTAAAAGATGTTATTATACACCCAGGGCCTTAAATAATGGAATCATTATTTTGAAGGGTTATTCTGAAGGAGACTTTATTAAAATTGTTAAGGTAGATGTAGCCCAGTACACTATCAACTATAAATGGCAGGTAGAATTAAACTCTGATTATTCATTTAAACTTGTGTCCAGCAATAAAAAAGTATTGAATAATTTAGATTCTATGAACCAATTTGATCTAATAATTACTCCTGGAGGAAAGTGTATTGGCCATTTTTGGTTTTGTGAAGAAAATGACTCTTTCTACATATGGGATTTGGAAAATGGAGTGGAACTAAGAAAGGAATGTTGTTCTACACGCTTACCAGAAGGGGGGTTGAGTATTGTAGGATGTAAAACTGGATCCAAAACATGTGAAGATATCCTAGTACTCCTTCCCAATACAATGTTACCCGATCTTCCTGGAATAGTGACAGTGACATGTCGAGTTTATAATGTACATCAACTATGTTTCTTACCCTTTGAGCAAACTTTTTCTGTTTTTTGCGGGTTTTTAATGGGTTTTACACAAGATTCCTTCAATTACTGTGCAATAACTGACAATTTTTTGGCTCTTTCAGACTGTGATATTAAAAATCCAGAAGAGGTTTCTGATGTCAGAGTTTACAACTACAGATCTGGACATCTATTACACAAGTTACCCTCTAAAGGGACGATTCAGATCATAAATGATTTGTGTTTTCTGTTTAAAATGCCAAAAGTTGTTAAACAAGTCACAAGCCAGAGACCAAACTCCAGACAAATGATGCCTCAAGATGATAAAACTGTTTTGTGCTCCGTTTTCTGTCCATCTGGAGCTATTTTGGAAGATACTACAGGCTGTGAAGTCAATCATTTTCGTGTTTTTGGGAAGGGACTTGTAGAAATATTTTCAACCCAAGTTATGCTTAGGCCTAATTTACTTGTAAATTCTTCAACCGAAGTTTGGAGGTTGAATCAATTCTCCTCTTTTAAAACTGGTGTAACTTTCCCTGAGCGTACAGATGTAAATCGCGCCTTCACAAAGGTTATAACAAGAACAGACACAATCTTGGAAGAAGAGGACACAATCAGAGTCACCTACTTTTGGTAATGTTATAGTGACAGTATGTCGGTGTTTATAAATGTAAGTTGTAATTGTATCATTTCATTATTTATTGTATTTCGTGTAGAACTGGTATAAACAATTTGCAATGTTCATATAGCTAAGGTTTATGATTACAGAATGCCAGTAATTGAGAAAATTAAATTATGGAAATTTTAAATTGCAAAAGTGAATTCAACACACTCTCTTTTAATCCATGCTTTTATCATTGAGTATAAACCTAACTATCAACCTAAGTTATGTCTATACTCAATGCTTTTATCAAACATAATGAAAACAATTAATTTTAATTTTTACTTTGTGTTTTTTTATTTTAATATTTTACAGTTCAAATTAATAATAACAACGCTTTTCATAACAAATAATATGTAATATTACATGTCATTCATTCATCATTAACATTAATTTCTCTTTTATTTTGTATATTCTCTCTCATAATGTCTGTTAATGCCCCTGATAATGTATTTGTTTCCCCTAGTTAATGTGTTATTTTATCCAATTTTGTTCAATGTTATATAATATCCCATCACCCCACAGAAACATCATCCTATTTTATGTTACAATATAATATTTATGCAAATTCTCTCCATACCTATCCTGTACTCATCAAAAACCAACAATAATCATTTATTTAGAATAATATATAATTGTAAGAAAATTGCAATATAATAATAACATATTAAATATAGTATCACTTTTCAAAATTATCCAAAGAAAATCAAAATTACTGTGGCAAGTGTCATTCATGTAAATTAACCAGCTGTACATCACTTCAACAATGGACATGGACTTCCTGAGCTTCTACCATTGCCTCTGCCCAGATCCTGCCAACTCTTCACAGTGTGAACATCATTCTATTGGAAATTGTGTTTGATTTAAACTAAAATTTATAATCCCAAAGTAAAACCTATATTTTAAATTTCTTATCATCCAAAAGTATTGGACAAGTGCATTGAAGAGTACCAATTTATAAGAAGACAGACACTCCAAATTTGGTAACCATCATCCATCATATTTAACTAAGGACAAATTTAATCTCCATTGGACATTTAATCAGCATAGCCTACTAGGCCTAATTAACTCAACTCATCAAGATATATACATATTTCAAATTGAACTTTTATTCAAAATTTAATCTTCAAATTCTATTTTATTTCATTAAATTCAGTGAAACCATTTGGAATCTTTCTTTGGACATTTAACATTATTATATTAATAGCATCATGAACCTAGCTTAACTTATTTCAGAACAATAACTAAATTAAATTATTTGCATTTTCAAGAAGCCTAATATATCATTCGAACCGGCACGACCACCCCTCCCTGAGATTAAGAGTTCATAGCCTATTCAAATATTAATTATAGTACTTAAGAAGAAACCAACCCAATATAGGTCTAAGCCTAGAGAATCTTTTCATCCACTTTGGAACCCCACCATTTTGAAAATTTACCATTGTTAACTTATCCTGTAATAGCTAATTCAACCAATAACTTATCTTGTATTTCATTAATACATTTTATATTGTAACTTACCAAATCTATTTATTCTTAGAATAATTCATAATTATAAGATTAAGACAAAGACTTACCTTATTAGACAGAAACAAAACACAAATTAGGAATTATCTTTATTAAGAAAGAAATGACTTTGAGTTCAATGTGGGCTAACTTAATAGCCATAGGAATTTTGTAGGCCTAAGTTAATGAAAAGTCTATAGAAAGCTTTATGGTGCATAACAAATAATGATATATAGGGTCAAATTCAATAAGTATTACTGGTTGGAAAAATCAAAATTTATATCAGGGATCATTACACTTTGCTTAATACTCAAAATAATTTCCTCCTGCTTCGATGCACTTAATTCCATCATAAGCCCACTGGAAGTCAGTTTCAGGAAAACTGTTGGGAGCAGCTCTCGTGCCCACTTGAACCGCCTCGATGGAGTCAAACCGCCGTTCTTTCAATAAATTTGACAAAAGAGTCAGGTGGAGCCAGATCTGGGCTGTAGGGACATAGCTAAGATTATATAGAGTATAGGATTTGTCTTAATGTATTGTGTGAAGAAATATGTTAATAGCCTTCTAACAACTAAGTTAGATGTTGTACATATTCCTTAATTTAGGCTATTTAATTAACTGTGTAGCTTTTTAACATTGCATAAACCGTTCAATTCTGTCTTCTATATAAAATCCCTCTCCCAAATCCTCGCTGCTAAATTGTTAGTTAGCTATTAAACTAAAGTATGGTATATTTGTTATCAAAAAGGGTTTAGATTTAACATAAGACCTTACCATAATTGAAGACCTAGTCCTAAAGTATGGCTTTAACTTCAATGATCGCTGTAGGTAGGGTAAAGTTGTGTTGAAATACAGTACTGTACTACCTTTTTCATTCAATAAAATGTTGGTTTTTGATTATTTGTTTTTTATTGCTCCTATAGTATTATTTAAGCTGCTAGTAAAGTGTATATGGAAAGTAAAGTTGTGGTAAAATATTACCTTAAAATTATTGCCCCGCCTCAAAAAACCTTCAGTCTAAGATAGTTTTCATTTGCCTGATGAGGTTTTATGGGTAACCAAAATTTATCCCCTGGGCAAAGCTGAGTTCACTATGGATGTAGTAACCTGAGCGCCCTCTTTCGCGGATTCGAGAGTCTAATGAAAATAGACAGAGCGTGATAAATTGGATTGGCAAAAAAACTGAATTTTACCCACTGTCCATATAACTAGCGTTTAGGCAAGTTAATTATTGCTCGGATCAGATCTGATGGTAAGTTCAGATTCGGATACCTAGTTAAAGGCATTTGTATATATCGTAACATTAAACCAATATTATTGATATTGGTCCGCTGTTATCTTTTGACGTAATATGTTTAGAAAAGACTATTTAAACGATGCTTACATCTTGTAATAACACTATCGTAAACAATTATTTAACCAATAATAAGTTTTTGTATGGAAATGAAAAAGCAGCAAATTCCGATTTCAATTTCTCGCTCAAAGCCTAAAATTACTATTTTGTGATGAAAATCCCGCGCATTGAAACAATGATCGAAATGGAACCAACATTATCGAAATTAGATGTTGAGACTTATTGTGTTGTTGAAGAGCTAAGAGACAAGCAAAGGAAAAACTTTGTTCGTTCTGTATAAAGCGAATCATAAAGTAATAGCAAATGACCACAGAACACTATACAGTAGACCCCCTCTTAACCGACCCTAATGGGACCGGACCTAGGTCGGATAACTCAAAAGGTCGGATAAAACGGACAATCCCTAAAATCATAACATAATGAAGTGCTATTCATTTGGAAATATATAATTATAATATTAGTAAGATTATTTTGAATTCATAGGAATAAAGTCATTATTTATCAAATAAACTACTCTTATCTCCTTTTTCATATTGATAGAAAAGTCACAAATAAACACAAAACACGGTTAAGTCAAATAGGCCTACTTTCAGTTGAATATATTATAATACTAGGCAAGAGTCAATAAAATCCCTATTTTAATAACTTTAGTACTGTAATGTATTAATTGATGCTTTCAAATACATCGTAATACAGTACAGAACCTTTTGTCGACATTAAAGATACAAGCGACCATTTTGTTACAAAACAGGACGTTTATTTATAGCCTCTCACTGGAGGCTCGAGGCACAAAAACTATCTTGACCTTGGAGTTGTTAACCCCCCTTCCCTGCCTTCCCTACAAGTTGCGTTGTTTGTTTACTCCGGCGATAAGATAATCAGTTCTCAAAATCGTAATGCACTTTATGGTGTTATAAATTTGCCGCACAGATAACAAATCAGATCAGATGTGCTCGAGCTACGAACGATGATGACAAACTGACAATAGGCTATGCTATATTTTTTGTGATCAACACAAAATAACTTATTGTTAGTCATATCCTGTGGAGATAAGCGTATGGTTCAGTTCTCATCGCCCAGCGTGGGACCGGAAATGCCGAGATTCCTAGAAAGTGGCGGTTAAACCAAGCTGCTCTCAAAGCAAGGTCGGTTAAAACAAACTGTATTATTTTACGATCAAAGGCGGATAATCCGATTATCGGTTAATACGAGGTCGGTTAAGAGGGGGTCTACTGTACAAAGCTCTCTACGAAGCGGGAACAATCGAATGAAAACAACCGACTGATAGTCACACGCCAAAATACTGTAGACCCACATAGACCGGTCAGCTGGTCTGTTGATTCGGTTACTTGCCACAGCGACAATATGAGTGTTTTAGTTTTGTGTCGAACATCATAGATGAAGTAATATAAACGATAATAATAATAGTAATAATAGACGATAACTCATCGACCGCTGTCAAAGTAACGTCGATGGGAACGAGTAGTGTTGAAATTATTACATTGTAGGAAACCAATGATGATTTAAGCCTTATGAACATTTTGACCATTTACATACAGTCTATCTGGAAATGTCAGATATTTATCGGATAGTGTCGGTATCAAATTTGGGCTCGGATTGGTTACGGATATCCGGACCTGAACCCAAACCGACCCAAAATTTTTGATATCAGCACACATATAAAAATAGTAGTTAGCCTATACAACAAGTTATTTATTATTGGCAAAAGTTAAAATGGCTATGCGTATTATTCAAATGTTGTTATACAGTAGTTAATATTTAGTGATCATTTGGAAAGATGATGACATCTCCAACACTCAGTCTGCTGGCTTCAAACTCTGCCCACAATTGATTGAGTTTTTGTTATCTTTTGGTTGATAATAAGTCAAACTTCCTAACTATAGTTATGAGTGCATTGCAAATATAATTAAGTTGTGACATGAAATTATGGAGTCACAGAATTAACAGAATCTGACAATATTCCTATAAAATGAATTTAAGAATGAGGCCACTTACTTTCGGTTTTCGATGCGGCATTTTGCCTGTTTCAAACAATCCTTCACAACCACTTCTATTTCTGAGTCTGTGCATTTTTAAAAATTAATTTTGACACTTTCTGAAACATAACAAATAAAATCAATAAAATTCATAAACCCATATATAATTAGTTGTTTTCATAATTTAACCAAACTCGTCTTACTTATACATACGATTCTTATGTATTCATGTTGTGGACTTTTGAGTGGGCGTATGCAAATATATTTTACTTCCATGAACATATATTTTGGGCACAAAAGTACAATGAAAATTGAAATAATCTATGTATTAATCTACATACTAAAATCTATTTAGACAAAAGAATGTCCTAATCCGTCCAATAGAAACCCCGTCAGGTCAAATTTAGTTTTTCAAAACTGAGGATACATTTTTTTTTTTTTCAATGTTACACATTGAATTGGTATGCTAGGAAGAACATTGTGTATTTATAGCCTAATATATAAATTTGATTACCGGTATGTAGCTTTTGTAAAAAGCAGTACTTTGTGCCCTCATGCCCTTATATGTACTTAGTGCACCTGTAATTCCTGATATTACATTCAAATATTTACTTACTAAACAATGCATCCTTCATCTTGAGCTTCGTAAAAGGAATCTTCTGTTTTAAGCCATAAAAACTGAATCACTGTGCTGCCTCATATGTTATCAAGCTTTTAAACATCCTTTTGGTTGCCTCTTTGGGGGCAATTCCTCCAATTCTGGACAAATGGTTGAACTAGAAGAGAAAAAAGTTATGTATTCAAGGCATTCATCAAGATATTAGCATGCAAGAAAGTCAATGTTTTTTGAACCCAGTGACAAGACCTGTATTATACAGTAATTATTTACCTATTTTGCCTGAAAGTCTTGTAGTTAAACTCGATTAACACTCGATGCGCATTTCGCCGCTCAGTGCGGCATCTTCATGGAGTGCCATGAAGATGCCGCACTGAGCGGCGAAATGCGCATCGAGTGTTAATCGAGTTTAACTACAAGACCTTCAGGCAAAATAGGTAAATAATTAATGCAAGAAAGGTTGCGAGTGGAGCGAGCTGGTCTAGTTGTAGAACGTGGGACTTAGGAGCCCAAGGTCCGGGGTCAAATTACTTCAATCACCAATTGATTTAATCCATGTAATAATTACCGTGACACTCTGAGACTAGCCTTAAGTTATGTTTAAAACAGTTCCAGGCCAGAACCTAGCGTCCTATGTGAAAGTGGGACAGCAAAATTATAATAAAATATCATCCTCGCTAACGGTGGAGCAGCCTTAAAAAGTGTTCATAAACAATACACACATTTCTCTTCATAAAATAAGATTAAATTTAGGGTTGCTACAGATTATACGGACAGAAAAATAATAGAACCGCCACTGTACAACGATCTGATCTGGTCATAGTATATGAATATCTTATTAGGTAAAATTCAACAATGATAACTGACTATCAAAGTAAAATTATTTTAGATATTTACAGATTAGTTTTAGCACTGTTGAGGGCAGTAAATGGGTGAAATGAAAAGTTAAATAGCTTGAAGGACCAGAACTAAAATTACTAGTTCAAGAGAAAAATAATAAAATTAGAGAAATTGGCGAATCGGCAATTTAAAGGGCACTTGAGGTCCCAAGGTGAAATAAAATGTCTTGTGAGGGGCAAATGAGATAGTCTGTAGTCTAATTAAATCACACACAAAACTTTAAAGTTGTGCCTTGAGTCCAATTATCCAAGAGTGGAGAGGATGGCAGCGGCGTCGTCTATGGCGGATGGCGGAGTCCTTAGACTGAGTGTTTCTGTTTTGTATAATTTGGAGAACGCAACGCACCCAAGTTCATAAACACATTAGAATTAAATGTATATACTGTTAATAATGTAACTATAGAGGAGAGAGAGGCCAGATATATGTTAAATCTATAGCCTAAAAATGGTATAAAATGGACAATTAATGTCCCGAGAGAAGAGAAACGGAGTACACCGTGAGTTATGGACGCCGACCATAGACAGACAGACGCCGATTGCCGGCTTCACTTTTAAAATGCAATTGTGGCTTAGAGGGGCCTAGGAATTTGATGGCCAATAGGAAATTCGATTGAAGCATTCTCGGTGTCTGAGTCATGGGTATGTAGTAAAGGAAAATATACCTTACTGTGGCGGGAAATTCGAGCGGGCTTAGCCATCTCATTTGCATATTGAAAAGCGGGAGTCTATTTAGAATAAATTGTTACTGAGACTAAATTATGTTACACTAAAGAGGATGGTGATTTATATACACATTAACATGATTAATTAGCCAGTGACTTAATTAACATATTGATTAATTTCTAAATATATACTCTAAAGATATGAATATCGAACAAGCACTGTTGTTTAAATTTAGAAAGAAAAGAAAATTTAAATTAAAATATGTTGATAAATAAATAACATATGATATTATGAACTGTTAAACTTTACTGAGAGTAAAACAACTTATTCTAAAAAAAACAATCATTAACATTGAAAAATTAAAACTGCTTTGCATAGCCTAGTAAAATAAACTTGTGTAGCAAATAATCAGTACTATATTTCATTTTATATTTAGATCATCATTGTGAACATCAAAGACACTACCATTTTGCCTCTTTGTACAACAGATTTATTCAAAACTCCAAGAATTCAACACAAAATTATGACAAATATAGTTTTTAATAGTTTATTACCTATATTTGTTTAAAATTAATGTAAAATTTATAGCTATTAAACATAAATTTTATTTAAATAATGTAAAGTTTTGATCTAAATTACCTGTGCATGAAACTTACCAAAGCTTCGTATACCGTTTCCAGTCCGAGACTCTTCTCGGCATTCAATACCTCTTCGTAGGTTTTTAATGGCAGGAGTGGTAATATGGCATTGCAATCTTCGTCAATAACATCGTCGGAATTGACGCACGCATCGGTTTTCAGTGGCGGATCTAGAACAGTCACAAGGGGGGGGCGAACCAGGGGGTCGGGGGGTGGGTTTCGGGGGTACCCCCCCCCCCCAAAGAATATGTGTAAACTTAAGTCTCCAAAACGGCAGTTTTATACCATTTCTTTGTTTAAAGTTAGTATGACAAATTATTTTAAGCATTTTGTATGCACTAGGCTACTGTATTACATGCAGTAAAAAATATATGTATATGTCTGCCCGAGGGGGGGGCGGTCGCCCCCTTCGCCCCCCCTCTGGATCCGCCACTGGGTTTGGTTCCTTAATGCCAAACTTTCATTTTCTGTTAGGACCGCCAGCTGCTCTGAAATTTCTGTCAGCGTAGGGGCGGTTTCTCTTTTGAAAGCTGCAATGATAAACAATCATATAAACACTCAACTGAAGAAACAGCTGATAAAACAAAAACAGTTGGTCACCACCATTGAAAAATGTACTCTAAAAGTACATTTTAAATAAATATGATGGGGTCAATCTCTTAAAGGAAATTAAGTTTTTAATAACCATTCACAGGTGCGCTATATTAGCTTTGAAATTAATTAGGCCTATTAGATGAACAATTGAATTACTTTGTTTTAACTTATATACATCTTATGTGTTAGTGTATTGGTAAGTTAGTGTATTTAAGTCAAACGGGGCAAAGTCTGTGGGTAACAGCAGCTTTATGATATATTTTATTGAGTATATGCAGTAGTACAGCTGTCTTTATGTAGGTTATGTTCTTCTTTAATTAAATAAAATTAAAATCAAGATAGCATCTAAAAGATGATAAAGATCTCCTGAAAATTAAGTTAGACTACAGATAAAGTTGTAGGTAGGCTAATGTTCCAAAATATGACAAACTTAACTTACCTAGGAATTCAGAATATAGTATCGACAGACTCCTCTTTTTTGGGGGGCTTGAGCAACACGCGTGTTGATGAGTAATTTTAGAAGTGATTGTCTTTGCTCCGATTAGAGTTGGCTGTATGGTTATAGGGGTTGGCCTACTTGGCAATGCAGGGGGGAGGTTCTCTTCAATACTGCTATCACTTTGGGTTTCCTCTTCTCCTCACTCAAGTTCACGTCTGAACTTTCACGTTCAGATTCTACGGCTTTATATTTAGCCAATTCATAAGAATCTGCAACAAATATTTTTTGTTAATTTAGAAAGTAAGTTAAAATAAGTTATTCACAGGCCATTTGCATGAGGCCAAATTGTAAAAAATTAGGTATGGTAAGTAGCCTATGGGCCTCCTCTCTTCTATGAACATCAGACCGGCATCTATTACAAATAAAATTCAGTAAACTAATTACTAAGTTTATATACAGTAGCCTAACCGATTTGAGTCGTTGATGTATATTTATTTTTGTGCACAGTGTAAGTTAGGCCGTTGCATCCAATTGGGAAATTCCCTAAAAATCTATTTTTAAAATTACTGTACTTAGCCTGGCATAAGAAGAAGTACGGTAATTTATGTTAGGTTTAATCATTGATGATTTAGGTACATAAACTACTTTTTATGGGCTAAGGCTGATTGAGTAACTTAAATCTAAAAGAAAACACTATGCGTTTATAATGATTTATCACTACCCAATTGGTTGAATGTGTTTACAAAATTTATCAACTGCATTGGCGCCGTATATCCGGCGTTGCCATTTCGGCCGCGGCCGTTTGCGCCGTATATCCGGCGTTTGCCAGTGCTAGGGTTAATGAACTAAGAATAAGATATTACACAATGATGAATGGGGTTTGATATTTAAATGAACAGATAAGTTAAGTTACAGGGTCGCCATATTTGGTTTAGCCTAGCTCAAAAACAGAACAATGAGTTTACAATAAGATATAAGTTTAATTATTACATAAATCTTCTCAGGGAGGGGAACTCGGCTGCCTAAAAAGATCTTCAAATATTTTAGGCCTAATTTATAAAATAAAATATATCAATTATGAAAATTTGGGAGGCTTGGATAGGTAGGTAAATAGTCCAACAATGAATAGAATAGGTGAAAAATTAATCAAGGTTGAATTTAGTTCTCTTGTTCAAATTGTTTTTCTGGAATTATTCTTGATGAAAATAAAGAAGTTTTTGAATTAAAATATAAGGTTCGATCAGAAAGTAAATAAAATAGGTCTGTATTAAGTTGAATTTCTTGAAGTTAGGCTATGCCTTCTACAAAATGGAGATTTCTCACCAGATTGGTTCTTCAGTAGTCCAATTAAATATGAATCTTGAGGTGGCAGTACTGTACATATTTGAAATAGAAAAAAATAAAGATATATAAAAGCTAGACTGTTCTTCTGAAGATAATCTTAAGTTAAATATAATTTTCATCACTTTGACGTTTTAAATGTTAGGGATTATACCCTCACTGAATTTAAGGTATTGAAGCTGCCATGTCCCAATAGAGAAGAGAAAATTTTAGTTTCACTATTTAATTCTTTTTGTCTATGGTTTCACACAGGATGATCAAAGTTCATTGTTGAAGCCAGCTGTCTTCTTTCTTTATCACTTGCACATGCACTAATAATCAGGCTTTCGGGTATAATAATTTAATGTTGGGGTTTTAGAAATAATTTATACTATATTAATAATTTTGGATAAAAGTGTTATTGCAACTATGGACTTATATACAGGTTACAGGTTTTTATTAACAATAATATTTGTTGGATATTTACAATATATTTTAAAATGTGATGATGATTTCTGAGGGGTGATTAAAGGATAATATCATTCAAATTTACTATAAATTTTCTGACAATTTATTTAAATAGGCTATATTGCGAATTTTGGTACAATAAAAGAAATAGAATTATATAACTAAAATGAATGAATGATGTGAATGGGCTATACAGTATACATGACATGTAACATTGCAATTCACTAGGTGAAACCATTGACTATATAACACTACGTAGTGTTATATAGTCAATGGTGAAACCCGTCTAAATCGACGGTTACTTTCGAGGCTTCGATGCTAATTCATCTAACTACGTTAAATTGAGTGAAATTATACATATTTTGAGCAATTAGCATTGTTTAAAGAGTAATAAGCGAAAAAACAATAATGATATTAATTGCTTTAGTTACCAAAAATATGGTTGATCATTCAACGAATAAAATATTTCCCACACCATACATCATCGGGGTTATTTTTAGTATGTTAACTGGTATCTCTTCTTTTGGAAGAACCTTAAAATATTATTAAAATCGTATTGGTGGATCTTTTGTAGTTAAACACTTCCGCGATTTCATCAGTGTAATGCAAATTAATCTATGATCGTATTTGAGAAAAAATATCTGTTTTTTTAACTACCTTTTTCTGTTGATTACCTAACTAAGCAAACGATATATAGAATAATCGATATTTTCATTTGAATGAGGGTAGGACCACGGACCTAAAGTAAATTGCAGCCAAAATAACTTACTCAAAATAAGGATGCAAGACACTCTGCAATAAATAAGAACGTTAACCCTACTCTATAACTCTAATATAGTGAATAATGTACTGTGGTAAACTGTCACTGTAGTCCAGGAGCAAACTGCACATATCCAGCTTCCGTGGGATTTTTTGTGAAGGGAATGTGTGACTATGTGGAATCTCTTTATTATATGTCACATAATGGGGTAGTACCAGGTGTTTACCCTCAAATTGCGGGGTTTGGTTTTTATGACGTCGTAAATCCAAGATGGCCGCCATGTGTGACAGCTATTCATTAAATTAATAATAACTCTTTTTAGAGTAAAATAATCGAATTTTAATTTACACCATTGAATTCAGCTCACAAAATCAAACAATTTGGTGTTTTGAATCATTGCTCTATGACCATTGGTTACCGAGATATTGAAGGCGGAAAACACAGAACATTGTCCCCATGTTATCCTTATGGGGAAAAAATAAAATTGTATATCTAGCTTATTACTCAGCATATCTTAATAATAATTGGTATGTGGCTTCATTTAGTAGAGATCTACTTGATTATGGCCTAAAATCCCCCATTTTTACATTTCCGTGGCAGCAAACCTGCATACTAACTTCCAATGTTATTCTTATGGAAAATCTTTTGCATGCTTGTTTATGAACATACTTTGAGAAATGATGATGTGTGGCTCCATTTTAATCATTTATTGAAGCATTTGCAATTCGTTGAGTATACAGGTCAGCTGCTACGGGGGTATTGTAGCTATAAAAAATATCACAAATTATTGGTATAAAATAAAATAAAATAGACTATAGTTCTGGGTCATATGTAATTTCGTGGGATTGTCTGCAACAGGTCTGCTGCTACGGGTAGGTCTGCTATAAACAAATTATAGGTATTAGAAAATAAAATAAATTAGACTATAGTTGTGAGGCATATGTAATTTTGTAGGATTTTGAATTAAGCAATTGTATGATTGTTGGCGATTGATAGGTAATGACATATAGAATCGTGTACTACCGGGTGTTTTGTCTGAAAGTGTGGCCAAGCTGGTGTTTTTGGCCCGCCGTCTTGGATCCACCATATTGGATATTAATATAATTTTTTAAATGTAATGCTGGTGTTGTGACTCATCATTATAAACTATAGATGTTTACGCTAATTTCAATTCCGAAAACCGTTTGTAAATATCGTCTTTCGTTTCGAAGATATATTGAAATGAAAACTCCCCCCCCACATACATCTTTTACGGACGTTTCGTACTTTGATTATTTTTCTCGTATATCCAGCTCTTATCATCGCTTGCAATTCGTTATAGTCTTAAAGTATTCAGTGATGTAAGGGCTTTTATTTAAGCTATCGATCATTAAAATCGGACGAGTTAGAGTTGAGCTATGAACCACAACACAATATTAAATTTAACTTTTTCCAAATCAGTTTTATTAAAAGATTTATATCTCGGTTTGTTAATACGGTAAAAGGTTCATTCTAGTCTTAAATTACTCAGTAAATGTCTGGTTTAAAATGTTATTAATCACTAAATGAAATCTGACTAATTGAAAATGAGTCATGGGCCTTTATTTAACATTAATAATTATTTTTATTTAGAAATTTTTCTTTGGTTAAAGCAATTAAAGACATACAGGGCTGGTCATCAGGGTTACAACATTTGTTTGGTGTAAGTACAAAGTAAATGATGTGTGATGAGGCATATAAGACTAAAAGGTTCCACGTCTAAAAATTGTAACACTGACGACTAGCCCTGTATGTCTTTAACCAAAGAAAGTTTTGGACATAAAAATAATTTAATGTTAAATGATGGTTCATGACTCATTTTAAAACAACTTAGTCAGATTTCATTTTGTGATTAATAAAATGTAAAATCAAACATTAACCAAGTAATTTGAGACCAGGAAGAACTTAGTGACGTACTAATAACCCGAGATATACAACTTTTAATAACAACAGAACTTTTTTTTCTGAACTCCTGTCACAACACTAGCATTGTATAAAAAAGTTATTAACATCCAATATGGTGGATCCAAGATGGCGGCCGAAAACACCAGCTTGACCACACTTTCAGACAAAATACTCGGTAGTACACGGTTCTACATGTACCTATCAATCGCCAACAATCATACAATTGCTTAATTCAAAATCCTACAAAATTACATATGCCTCACAATTATAGTCTAATTTATTTCATTTTCTAATACCTGTAATTTGTTTATAGCAGACCTACCCGTAGCAGCAGACCTGTATACTCAACGAATTACAAATGCTTCAATAAATAATTAAAATGGAGCCACACATCATTTCTCAAAGTATGTTCATGAACAAGCATGCAAAAAATTTTCCATAAGAATAACATTGGGAGTTAGTATGCAGGTTTGCTGCCACGGAAATGTAAAAATGGGGGATTTTAGGCCATAATCAAGTAGATCTCAACTAAATGAAGCCACATACCAATTATTATTAAGATATGCTGAGTAATAAGCTAAATATACAATTTTATTTTTTCCCCATAAGGATAACATGGGGACAATGTTCTGTGTTTTCCGCCTTCAATATCTCGGTAACCAATGGTCATAGAGCAATGATTCAAAACACCAAATTGTTTGATTTTGTGAGCTGAATTCAATGGTGTAAATTAAAATTCGATTATTTTACTCTAAAAAGAGTTATTATTAATTTAATGAATAGCTGTCACACATGGCGGCCATCTTGGATTTACGACGTCATAAAAACCAAACCCCGCAATTTGAGGGTAAACACCCGGTACCATTATGTGACATATAATAAAGATATTCCACATAGTCACACATTCCCTTCACAAAAAATCCCACAGAATACAGTTTGCCCCCCGACTACTGACTTTTACTAACCTTTTTCAGAAAATGAATTTGCAAAACTTGGAGATTCAAGAACGACGAAACGGCACAAGGAAGAATTTTCAGGTGCCGTTTGACGTCACTAACTGCTGACGTAACTTTGAGGGAACACCAATACCGCAACGATACGGTGTTTGAGCCATCGGCCTCGGTGGTAAAGTGGATAGCGTGGCGGGCTGATAATCCGAATGTACCGCGGGTTCGAATCCCGCCGGTAGCTCTAACTTTTTGTCAACAATTTTTTTCATATCAGCAAGTTTGGTTGGTTTGGTTAGGTTATGACAGTTTAATTTTATACATAATTAAAAAATCATAAAATTGAATTTTAGGCATTTAAAATTTTATTTTACGAACAAAACTATTTTTTAGATTAGTAAACCTTCATTCGATTTTTCCATTATCAGCACGTTTGGTTAGGTAAATTTAATAATAGAAAAATTATGAAATTGTCTGTTTCTTCAGACGCAGCAGTTAGTGACGTTAAACGGCACCTGAGAAATCTTCCATGTGCCCCACCGCAAAAACGATTTTTTTTACAGCAAAATTTATTTCTGGTTCAATGTAGACATTATACACAGAAGTGTTAACAAAATTAATAAGAAATTAACTATAATAACATCGTGGGTTCGCCCAAACCTGAGACACCCTGTAACATAATTAATTTAGAGAATAATTTAATCTGATTTAATTATTGGAGGATTTTAGTTTTAGCTAGGGATAAAATGGGGATTTTTTCTTAGTCAGATGGGGAATTTTCACAGGTCCCAGATAGACAGTGACAGTGCAGATAGAGATCGATGGTCCCAGTCCCAGGGTGGCAACACTGATCCAAAGTTCAAATTCAAAAGTAATCTGCCTTTTTGAGTATAGCCATTAGACAAATATTCTCTATGGTATAGTGTATTTATTTTCTAAATAGTAATCGTGGTATTGGTATTTAGTATTTGGTATTGTTATTAATTTGTTCTTGTTCATGGTTCCATTTTATAGTAAAAACACTAAACAGGAAGGAAGGATTAAATTAAGTAAGTAAGAAGATATAAGAAGTCAGGACCCAGGAGGACATGTCCAAACTAGAACCTTGTTTCTTGTGTGATCTTGATATGGAAAAGAAATAGCCTACAGTAAGTTTTGTATTGTTGATTAGGCTAGGTTTGTAGCTGGAGCTAATTAGGCCAGGCAAGGTAATAAGAATCCAAACTTTACCTGCTATTGATTTTCTCTCAATCTTATTTATCAAAATTGCTTCTTGAACTGTAGGCCTAACTATAAGATCAATAGGTCCAACCCACATTCCACGTACGGAGCAAACTCGCACTTAAAAGCCAATTTTTTCTAGAAATTCAGCACCGGTAACTGATGCTTCAATAAACATTCTTTATTTAACCCTCCAAGTGTCTCTGGTTTTGGTCTTAATGTTCGCCCATTTATTGCCCAATCGCTGGGTTTTATTAAAATGTATCTTAGAAACTTAAAAACAATGTAAAGTAGGCCTATAGGCCTACTAGTTTATATATGCTGGCCCGACAGACGTCGTCCTGTCCTATTGTGGTTTTATGTCACATGCTCGTTCATGTTCAAGATGAGCTCGTTCGCATGGCTCAATCACGTCCTGGTTGAAGTTCGTTCGCTACGCTCACTCACCTTTGGGTTGGAGCTCGTTCGCTGCGCTCACTTGCCTTCAGGTTAGCTCGTTCGCTACGCTAACTCGCCTCCAGGTTGAAGTTCGTTCGCTACGCTCACTCACCTTTTGGTTGCAAATTAACTGTTCTCATAAATTAAAAATAAATATAGTGCCGCACCCTGTTGGTAAACCTATTAACTTTTTAATGCGATTGAACATCACAGAATCAAATTGTTTAGTTGCACCAGCTGTTAAGATTCTTTAATTTCATTTATATATGAGTACTCATAAGGTTAACATGGGAAACTCCAGAGCCACTGGGGCGGAGCCCTATTGACGGATCTGCACTAAACTTCACACAAACCATCCTTGAATAATGCTTAATAATGCCTGAAAGTTTCATTACAATCTGTCGAGCGGTTTTGGAGTCCATAAAGGACAAACATACAAATATACAAACATACATTGGATTTTATATATATAGATTTTGTTTGGAAAATTATAGGCTTCAATGTAACATATAAAACATTACAAAAAAAATGTTCAACAATTTTTGTGGGGTTAACATTTCTCAAAAATTATAAAATAGCCTAAATGAAAAAAATGTATGTTTGCGCTCAATAAATTGTTATAATTTATAAGTCTACAAATATTTTAAAATAGCCTCTTTGTTCAGAATTTTATGAGGATTCCAAAAATATAATAATATAAGGAAGTAGGTTTGCAAATAAATAAGTTATGGGCAAAAAACAGATTTCGGTACATAGTGTTTAGCTAAGAATGCATAGCCTAACCATAGCTAGGAATCTGGCTGATAATTTACATCAATATCACTAGGCCTACCTAACTTAAGTACCGTACTTCTTCAGGATCATCAACCAGCCTTTCAAAATCACTTAAATCTTCTAATAATGCACCACGTATATCACTAGGCCTACTTTTGATTTTTAACACTAAAACAATGATAAACGTAATAAAACACATCAGTCATCGGTGCGAGGTTAACCAAGCTGTTTACAAATATGCACGTCAGCTGTCTGCTACAATATTTTCGGAATTAAAATTAAAAGCGTATAGAAACAGACATCAGGGAAAGCTCTGAATCTGCTGAAAAAAACGATAACTCGATCCAGTTCAATCCGATTCAGTCAGTCCCAGAGCCGTCGCCGTAAACAGTGTTTGTGAGTCGCAAAAGCGACACATAACACTACAGCGGATGTGTTATGAGTCGCTTTTACGACACATAACACTCGGAGGGTTAATGAAATAAAGAATATGATGATGTGTGTTTTAGCGAATTTCCCATATAGGGAATATTAGCGAATTTCCCATATAGGGAATAAGCTATTACCGTAGTACTCATGGTAAGACCTGGACGCGGGACCGATTTTTTTTTTCGTTTTGAGGTCCCTAGAGGCCAAAAACACCATCCGTTCAAATTCATATATATATATATATATTTATATATATATATAATATGTATTTATATATATATATATAATATATATATATGTCCGTCAGCACGATAACTCAAGCAAAAATGATCCGATTTTGATGAAATTTGGTACAAACGTGTAAACCTACGTTTATTCGAACGAGTTCGCGACCCAGCATGATCGGACCATGTGAACGGGTGTTTACGGGGGGTTTTATGGGGTAAAAATAGGTTTTTCCCATTTTTGACCCAAAAAACTTAAAATTTTGCAATTTATTTTCAAACCATATTGTAGAGCTTAAAAAAACAAATAATTTAGTATATTGAAGCGTTATTATGCGCCTAACGGTTACAGAGAAAATTCCAAAAAATTGTAAATTTAAAATTCCCATGTTATTCTTATGGAGAATAAGTAAACTGTTGTAGTTTGCTTGTTTATGAACATATTTTGATCACATTTGGAAAATGTTTTTATTTCTTACTAACTATTAACATTTTACAAAAAAAAAAAAACAATTTTACCCTCCCTGATGCAGCAAACCTAAGTACGTGTTAAACTAATTCTATTTAAATCCGGAATAAATGTTATATTTTTAAGTAGACATTTCAGTGTAAATCCAATCAGTCAAATGGAAATTCGCTTAGTCTGCAGGTTTGCTGCGGCGGGGGTATTTCTATTGGTGACTGATGTGTTTGCTACAATATCGATGGCTGTAACTTATCCTGTAAACTCACCATGTGTAAGCATGCCTACAATTACAACCATGACATGGCATGGACTCATTAGTACCAGTAACTAACCACTAAGTTAGTGCTGGCTATCAAGGCCATAGGCTCCACCTGTCATGCAAACCCAAGGGGTTGTGGGGTAGTCTACACAGGGTTGCTACTTTTTTATAGGGGAAAATCAGGGCTTTTAAAAATATGTTTTTAGGCATTACATTTTTTCCGGACCCCTCTTTAACCTATCTGGGGGATATTAAATAAGTTACCCCCCAGACCCCCGGTGGTCATACCCCTGGAATGAAATCCTGGGACTGTCACTGGTCCTCACCAGTAAAAGGGTGTTGGGGCCCACACTACAAAGAGAAAAAAATGAAAACAATATGGTGATTTTGAAAGGAATTAAGTGTCTAAATATTGACTAAGTTATTCTGTATAATATTGTCTGCCCTGAAAATATTGTAACTATGACAAGAGGATACATGCACAAATTGCACATTTTAATATGGTTCAAACAAGGTATAGGCATAACATCTAATGCAATAACTAACCCTTTTACTTTTCAAAGATCCAGATGCACTATAAAGGCTAATGATTAGAATGACCTACAGGTACCTCAACCAGGTTGCAATTCAAGGTAAAATAGCCTATCTAAATTCAATTTTCCTAAAATGTTTCACATGTCTCTTGTTTAAAATCTAACTGTGATGAAACATTCAAGTGAAGATCAGCCATTGGATTAGGCTAGGCTACTAGATTAGATTTAGATTTAGATTTAGATTTAGATTTGTTGTCATGAGAGCCGAAGCCCCCTGACTGCTTACCCGGTACCTATCCTTCAGGACATACCCGGGCCCCATGATGTAGGCCGAAGCTTACGCATCAACCTTTAGCACATCATGGGCGGATGACTTAAGGTCATCAGACTCGCCGGCTGCCGAAGCAGACCCTTCGGAAAGAGGGTTGCCCCTCAATCCTAACCAGGGATTCCGGCTGCTTGTTTAAGCGTCACTCCACCTGGGTTCCACTAGGTCGGAACCTAGAGGTCCATAGTAGAGCGCCCCGACGCATTTAGTGCAAGCAACACTCGGGACCTATCTCATCCCTGACAGGCAGAACCCGCCATCAATAGCCAGGAGGAAGGGGACCATCAGCACGCTGACGGGGGGAACCCCAACCTCCCATTTACACCGCTGCCCGATCGAGGCCTGACCCATTGCTGGGAACCAGAGATATCCAGAGCGATAGATCCCCAGATACCCCTGGCGGGCTCGGACCCAGCACCCGATCTACTTCGTTTGCCCGTCAGACCCAACATCACTGCCAGGCCATCAGGGTTTCCCAAAAGGAGGCAGGTATAGAAGTGGGACCCACCCGGATGAACCTATCCACCAGAGGTGGCGACACCCTTGACTCAATTGAGGTTCCGGGAAGAACCCCCCACACTCAAGATAACCATACCGTCCGTGCTCAGAGACAGGGATAGGTTTGCATAAGTACCTACAAACCGTTGCCCTCACACTGCGGAAAGTTACGTTGCCCTTGAGTGTCCCCGTGAGCTGCGGGTACTTGCCCGTTTTCACCTCCAGGAAAGGTTACTTCCAAAGTCGAGGATTTGCCCACTGAATGCTGGTCGCACACAACAAGCAGGCCGAAGCCCAAAGAACCACAGACACAGGTAGGTTAGAGATTATGATGTACTTCCATCTCTCCTAGAGCTAAACACCCCTCCATCCTGGATAAAGGAATGTCACTGGGACCCGATGCCCAGTCGACCATGTCTGTGGCCAACTTGAAAATGCCGATACCAACACGGAGCATTTACCTCCCCTCTGGGGGCTAGGTATTTCACCTCCCAGGACGAGGCTACTTCCAAAGTCGAGGATATGCCTCACAAAATGTCAGTCGAACACAGCAGGTAGGACTCAGTCACAACCACAGTTACAGGTAGATGAGGAGAGGCGGAATTAACGGCATCACTGAGAGCTAAACACCCCCCCCACCCTGAATGGAGGGAATGTCACTGGAGGCTCCCCCTAAGGGGCTGGCGCTTACCAGTCGTCCATAACTGTGGTCTACCTGAAGTGCCGGGTCTGACACCGGGCAGTTACCTCCCCTCTGGGAGAGCTAGGGTCCGCGTGGTCGCCCAGGCCACGAACCCACGCAAGCGTGAGCCCCCTGCGGTTCCGGACCCCTGAACCGGCTGATTTTATAGTAGGCTAGGCTACTAACTTATTTCTATTTAAACTGGTACGGTATAGCCTAAGTTAAAGAAAGTTTGTTAGGCCTACTGCACACAAGAGACTTTTTGTCGGCCGACTATTTTGTCGTAGTCGGGAGTCAAAGTCAGTCTAATTCATCTAAGTCATCTACTTAATTCCGCAAGGTAGTGTGATAGGCTGGATGTTCTGTAGAACATCTTCCACGTCCCAGCATGCCTCATGCGCACATCAATTTTATTCTTTGTTATTTATTAAAAAATGTATCATTGTTAGTCTAAATTTGACCAGGTTTTAGTTTGTTGTTCTTGTCAAGATTTTTCTGTTAAGTAATATAAATACGTCCCATTGCATGTTTGGCTTGTCCCTTAGATATTAGTAACATTGAATATTTATTGTAAACATAATTGTAAATTGGTTTGTTTGGACCGTTGGAAGCAAAATAAAAATAAATAAATAAACATCGACACTTCGAGTTCCCCCTCCTCATTTGTGACACTGCGGAAGGCCACAATGAGTGACACTTCTGGTGCGGCTTTGGATTTCATACACAGCCCGGACCTCTGGAATGTTGCCTACGACATACTTTTAAGGTCTGAAAAGCCTGAGGGAACATTATGATGGAATGGCCTCTGGATCATTCCAGAGAATTAACTATAGTGGTGTAAATTACGTTGTTACCTGCAAAACGATCCTTCGTAGTTTGTTAAGACTACAGCTGTTTCATGCTTTGAACTGAGCACATCATCAGGTCAGAAGAATGTCAAGTAGTCTTCATTGGATATACCTCATAGTGGAGTTCGTCAAAAATTTTATGATAAATGGGTAACAATACACATAACTCACGGAAACACAAAATATTTAGTGCTGGTCGACCAGACAACGAGTTTGGTATGAAGAAACTGAGGACCAAAAACTGACAGTTGAGGGTAGACTACAGTAGTTTGGACTTTCCTGGATTATGGTCAGGTGGGTGCTTTGATCTATGTAGTCTTGCCGGTTCGTCGCTGTGTTTCCAGTTTTGTTAGATTCAAATTGTTGTATATTAATTTGAAAATTATTAAGTTTCAATGTTGTATTTTAATTTGAAAATTGCAGAGTACTCTTCTTTTTTAATACAGGGAATTCAATCACTGTATTTATGTTTGTAAATTTCATAGCTTTCTTCTGCTCAGAATCAAGAGAAAATCAGAAAAGTTTTTGTGTTTGTTGGATTTTATTTGAGGTGTTTGGATACCAACATGATGTGGGGTTGTTATGATGACTGAAATTATGTTCTCTTAAATTGTTAAAATAATGTTTTATTGGTTTAGCCTGTGTATTGGAGGGGATTTATTACGGTTGATTTTTATGTTGGTATTTTTGTCAAGCCTCCCTAAACTTACTCTCCATGTCCGCAAATCAGACTTCGCTTTTCCAAAAATTAGCTACCGATATGGCTTTGTCATTCGCTTGTAAAAGATCATCTAATGTGCAAGACTGGTCTAGGCGTGAACAGATCAGCAGATTGCCAGGATCCTGAACAGCACTACACGCACACAAGATGTTTTCTTCGTCTGGTAAGTGTAGTGTATCTGTTGTACCTTAACAGATACACCATCTAAACTAGGGAAGTAGTCGGATTGTAAATAAATGAACGGATTACATTTTGCTAAACTGTGACAACGATGTTATGCAATAGACGGGTGGATGCTGAGAGAGAGGGAAGAACGGAAACGGGTCATGTGATCTAGGCGAGGGGGGGGAGGCATTGTATGATCACAGCTGATTTATTTGTATGAAGACATTTAACTACTGGATCACAAGATCACCAATGATCACAATACTATATATATTACATTATATCTAACAGTAAGAGACCCCATTTCTGCATTTTTGTCTTGCATTTTGGTACCTCAACCCTAATTCGATTTAGGGTCTTTTACACCGTGTAATGAAGGCCTCCACCAGGAGCCAGTTCCTCCCTAGCTGGTATGGGAGGGCTAGTCAATGTGGCCTCCCACCTTGCCACCCGATTGCTTAAGAGTGATCCATCCAGGACTCAAAAATGTTGCATTTTACTTTCGTAGTACACAAGGAATATCGTTCGGTGACGGCCGGAAGTTGTTGTGCTGTGGAAGGGGAAGTGTGCAGTTTCAATTATTGCCGAGAATGTGTGGAACCTTGAGCATCGTACGTTTCTCATGCGACGACATTACGCAAATGGTGAATCAGTCACTCAGACGCATCGAGACTTTCGTGCACATTTTGACATTGCACTGCATGGTGCTGTCCCTGATCGTAACACGATATTGCGCTGGATACATAATGTTAACAAAACTGGATCTTTCCTTAAGAAGAAACCTCCTGGACAGTACCCCTGAGACAGTTGGAAGAGTGCGCCTTGCAACAGTTCAGAGTCCTAGCCCCTCAATTTGGAAGCGGGCATCTACTCTCGGACTTCGCCCATCCACTGTGAGAAAGATTTTGGTAAAATATCATTAATTTTCTCTTTTCAAGCTAACAATATGTCATCGATTGAGTAAAGCTGCTGATAAGAGGCAACGTGTAAATTTTTGTGGTTCCAACAGTCCATACGGCTCGCATTAGAATGGAATTCCTTCAGCGAACATTCTCTACAAGAGTTATCTCACGTTTTGGTGATGTATTTTGGCCTTCTCGCTTCCCAGGTCTTAGAATTCCAGATTTCTTTCTATGGGGATTTTTGAAATCTAGAGTTAACATAAACACACCAAAAACAATACAGGAACTTAGCTATTCACCAGGAAATCAACACCATTCTTAGAGATATGTTAGCAACATCCGTAACAAGTTTTAAGGAACGTCTTCAACACTGTATCCAAGAAGAAGGCGACCACCTTAGATATGTCTTTTTTAAGTGCTAAATTGTAAGTAATTTTTATTCTGAAATTGCATATTGTGTACACGGTTTTTCCACTCATAAATTTATTTTTGCTCTGAATTACCTGAGTACTCGTTATTTGAAAAATATGCGATTCTCGGTAATCACCCTGTATGTTTTATTTACTTATGCACTGAAAATTGGCAAAGATCACTAAGGCAATTGTTCCACACCTTCCTGAAACTCCTTTTTCTTTAAGTTGTAGGACATTACGAGTAGGCTTACATTACATTACACAAGTTAATAATTACATGTACAATAGCCTATATTATTATTGTACCTAAATTTCACAAAGGTCCCATACTAAACACATTGAGACAGCTATCTAAAACATTACAAACTTTACTTGATCGTCAATTTATTTTTTTCTAAATTTTACACCTAAGAACCTGTAGGCCTAGTTGTCCTTTACACTTATTGACAATGAGCTATTCTTGTGTACCCAAAAATAAAATGGTACACACAAGAACTATCATTTTTCACACTAACCACTTCAAGTTGTGCTTGTTAGCAAAATGATTTTTTTAGCTGTCCCATTGTTTTGGTTTACTGTATCTTGTTTTATAAATTATACTTTACTCAATGTTTACAGATGGAGAACGTTCTGCTAGATATTGCTATAGAAGTTGCCAAGTACCTCTCACCTCGTGATATATCTTCATGTTGTGCAGTATCTCGCCACTGGCGAGAAGTATTCGGCACCAATGAGGTAATTATCCTCAGTTTATTAGGAGATTTTAAGCTAAATGTATAAACCAAAAACAAGTTAAACACTAGTTGTACCCCAATAATTAACTGTTATTCTGATGGTTTACTGATTTAAAGTTTAGTGAATTAATTTAATGAGAAGCTAAAATGATAATTCTAGAAATTAAATGGGGGTTTTGGTAGTTATTGGTATATTTAAATGTCATAGCTTAAGTCCAAGAGCTTTAATAGTATAGCTTATTTAAGCTGTACTAGACTTTAAGTACTCTGTTAAACCATAGACAAATACAATGAAATATAGACTGTCAAAGGAAGCTTCCGGCGCCCACCGCTAGGAGTGCTGTTTAGTTAGGCTGGCCGCACACTGATGCAGCATTCCACTTGAGGCAAGTGTTGCGAGGCAAAATGTTTCGCTGGGTACGAGCTCCCCGTGTATTTCAGTGGGACGCTGCACACTGATCAAGCAAATGTTGCGAGGCGTCTCGCAACGCCTTGAAACATTTGAGCAGTTGCTCGACGAATGGATCCCATTCAGCACGATGTTTGATGTTTCAAGGAGCAAACCGTTCTGCGCATGCGCCAAATCGATCAATCATCGATCAATCAAGCTAGATAGTAAATGATTTTTTAATGAAATGGCTAGCTAGGACAGCACACAAATTTTTAATAAAAAACTCAATTACGAATCTCATTATACATAAAATGTAGCACATTCGACGCTACATGTTAAGGATTGTCTGACGAGGTATGTTTAGCCATTATTTTGTCATTTTAACGCAAACCTATATGAAAATGGATTTTGACCTTAAGAGTCGCAGGACCACCGGTCATCTTGGATTTTTTGCCCATAACGGCAATGTTAATGGTTGAAGCATATTACGGCATTGTTTATTAAGATAAAAAGTTGCAAAATATCTCATTTTTAAGCTATTGAAACCACAGATGTGATTTGCTGTCTACTTTTTAATTGTAGGTAATTATTATTTTGTCAAACTACATAAATATATTGACTTTATGATTTTTTTCAACCTCAAAAACAAAGGTTCTAAAAATCCAAAAAGCAATTCATACAGAAAATATATTTGAGGATCACATAACATTTTCTGCTTGGTAATTAAGCTTACGGTACATGAATAATATGCTTCAACGGGAACGCATTTTTTTGCCGATCGGCAGTCAGACAACCACTGTTTTTGCCTAGCAGTAGTAAAACCATAGACTAACCAACACAAGTAGACTTCTCATCCGATTCCATTGTAAATTTTGAAACTAGTGTTTCGTGTCTAGGTCATGTAAGGTAACACTGGACGCTAGTGTCGAAAAAATTTAGTTTCTATTAGTTTAGGGTATTATTTCTTGATTTGAGCTTTACTGTTTAGTTATTTAAGTAGGGTATGAGTTATTGTTTATGATAAGATCATATTATTTGGTTAAACTAGGTTTTAAATTACTGAAAGTAACAAATTGTAATAAAAACGCTACTCCTACAGTGCACCATACAAGACAAGCAATTAAATTGGCATCCATTAGGATGAGTAATCTACTAAGGGAGTATGTTTTATCTATGGTAAAACTCAGGGACATATTTCCGAATAGGCGGACTAGGCGCCCGCCTACGGCGGCAAATTTTAGGGGCGGCAAAATTTTGAGGGTAAAAAAATAAAAAAACGAAGTTTTAATCTAAAAAAAAATTAGCAAATAATTTTGGGAACTGCAAAATAGCCATTTCAAATATTTTGATTAAGTATACAACTATTTCAGAACGCATCCAAGTCAAACAAACGTCAATAGTTTATTACACAGCTGTGTAGAGTTGTCCGTGCTGCCCTATTGGTCTGGCGGACACGCTCGCCGCGGGAGCGGGTCGCCGTGCCGGCCGCTATGTAGTGACAAACGTAGAAAATACTCCCTTCTGTTTACTTCATACACCACTACGCAGCGGCAGCACTATAGCTGAAAGATTCTTTTGCTAGGTTAAAATCAAGAAGGAAAGTGTGAACTAAATACTTACCACTGTACCAAACTTAACTAATTTAAAATTGTATATTATTCTTTCAGTATTAGTACGTAACTTTTCTTTGCGATTCATGTGCTTTTGGAAGAAATAAATAGTATGAGAAAACATATTTCTTTCATTTCAAATCAAAGCCAATAGCACGTCTCTCAAGTGGATCTGACTAATAGTGTTCAATGAAAAGCGTTATAAGAACCATTGTATACAGACGATTTTGTGTGCCGTTTCTAGCCGCAAAATGGGATTGTAAAAATACTGATTAGATAAAAAAGTTGCATTCCGTGTAGGCCTATCCAAGTCAGAATGTTTTGCAAAAAAACTGCACAAAAAAGTCCGTTAAAAGGGGTCGAAATAGTATATTTCGTACCTAGGGCCAAAAATGAGGTTTCGCCGGCTCGAGATAGTTTTTAGGTTCGAGACGAAGTCAACTTAAAACGATCGAGAGCTGCAAAACCATTTCGGTCCGTGGTACGAACGCTATTTTCCACCACACTATACCTTAATAGCACTATTCACCACAATAATGATGCACACTGATAGTCAACACAACTAGAACTTTAAGGTTATGTGAAGAAATAATTTGAGGAATCAGCAAAAGTTAAAATAAATAGTTGCTAGGCAGCGGTGACAATAAAACTATTCTATTGCAATGCTATGGATACTGATTGTGTATTTAATATGCATTCATGTTTTAAAAAGTAAGCGATCAGCTGATTTTGCGGCCCTAGGGATGTAAGAACCTGCTCGGTCCCCAAATGACGATGACAGCTGGCATGGCCAGCAAAACGTAACTTTCAGCCACCAATTAACGCATGTAAAACAGCTAAAAACATCATAGTGTGGTGAAAAGTTATTAAATTTGTTGATGCAGCATGCAATATTACCAATTATTTACCCACAAAACCAGCTGACAGGGCATGTATTGGCCATTGGGGTGATATTAGTGAGGTCGGGGAGTGTGTTGAAAAGTGGGAGCGGGAGGGGCGACGGCAAACTTTGTTGCCTAGAGGCGGCAGATACTTAAATACGTCCCTGGTAAAACTATTTCAACTCTGCCATCCAATTGTTGGAAATTGAGTTAATTTTTTATATAATACAAATTTCAATATTAATCAACATCAAATATAATAATTTGTTAGTCTTTGTTTTTATGAACAGATGTTTTATGTTTTAATTGATTTAAACAATAGAGAAGAGTTGGGTATTTATTGCGACGAACGTGACCATGGGAACCTATATAGATTTAAATATCACTAGAAACTAGATTTTTAGCTGAAAATAATGGTGCAAAAATTTTTCTGCGCTCTCAAATATTAACGGAGTTACGGCTGTTTTAAGTTTTATTTACCGGTACTTTGTTTTTTTGACCTAACCTATTTATAAGCCTATGAAATGTTCTCTCTAGATACTTGATATATTACGTTAATTGTAAGTAATTAACGTAGAAGACTCACTTTTTACCAGGAAATAACAGTGCAAAAATGTCTCCGAGGCCACGAATATTAATTAAGGTAACTTAAGATAATTTGTCGTTTTGATTTCCTTTATCTACCTTCTATTCTAATCTGCTACTGTTTGCCACATTACGGAATTACGGAACGGACTAACTGTTACTGTGCAACTATACTGAACCTGAAATGAAAATGAAAATACCAAATTGAAGAGAAGAGAATAAAAATAAGTCAATCAAATCATTTAAATGACATGTGCTACAAACATATAAGAAACAACACGGCACTGAATAACTTATTTAAGAATGAGGTTAAGGGTGTAGCATAGAGCACAAGGGCCTAGATTTTTTAGGATTTTTTGAGAGGATAGCAGGCTTACCTGAATGGGAAAGAGTCCAAACTGGCAAAAGGATCTGCAGCAACGATGATGAATTAAACAAGTTCAATAACAAAATATCTGACGCATTCGTAAAAAGGGGTTACTCTAGAAAGCTGGTGGAGAACCAAATCCGCTTAGCGCAAGACCATCCACAACCAAATAATGAAAAACGAAATAGCAAAAACATTGCTCTTGTCATAGAATACCACCAAGGACTACATTCATTGAATAGCATTTTAAAAGAGGGCTTCAAAATCCTCAAGGCCTCCAACCACACCATCATTTTTTTGAAAGATCCACCAAACATTGTTTTTAGACAACCACCCAATCTCCGAAAAATACTAGTCCACCCGAAAGTTCCTGACCCGGCCAACAACAACCCAAACAACGCACGCCCTAACGGTTCATATCCCTGTGATAACAAGAGATGTAAAATATGTGAAATAAATCAACCCAGCCAAACATTTTCCAGTTCCACAACCAAAGAAAACTACAACATCTGAGGCTTCAACACTTGTGAAACGAAGAACATTATCTACCAACTACAATGTAACAAACGTGAGGCACAGTATGTAGGCCTATCCACCAATAGCCTCAGAACCAGGATGAATGGCCATAGACAAGATGTATCTACTGGATAGTGGATACAAAGACAAACCAGTTGTACAACATGCCCAGAGCCACAACAACCCTAGTTTCAATGACTGCTATACAACCAAAATAGTCAAATCACTGCCTCCTCAATGTAACCAGTCACAACTGAGAAGATGGGAATTGTCTTACCAATGGTTTACTAAGTCTAGAAAACCCCTAAACCTAAACCTAAGATAATACCTTTCATCTAACCCACTCCACTTCAACATCCAACCCAACTAGCAGGCTTACATATTTATTCATATATATAGTGCATATAAGATAAACTGAAACTGTGTTTTTTGAATTCATACTATTGGCAACACTGACTTAACACTGGCCACCATTTTGGACATCTAGAAAACTCTCTCTTCCTTAGCTGAAAATGCTGTCAGTGACAGTGAAATATTCTAATGTTTTGTGTATATAGTGTAAAGTTTTGTTTTATGTTTCCTGTGCCTGTTTGGACTCTTTCCCATTCAGGTAAGCCTGCTATCCTCTCAAAAAATCCTTATTTCAGAATGATTTTATTTAGGCATGTGTGGAAGGCAAGTCGGGCTTATGCGGATTCGTGACTGTATTGAGTGTTTTGAAGTTAGGTTAGATTAGGAAGGTAAAGTGTAGGTTATAAAAAATCGTCCTTGGATTTACTCCGACGTTTCGCGGGACCAAAAATAACGTCCCGCTTAAATTAAAAACTTTTTTCTCTCGTGTACACGAGCTGGGCGCCTAACCACGACTGCCGGATCAGCTGTTCCTGGTGAGAGAGGGAGGGCAGGGAGTTTGGTGGACGTACTGGTTATTGTAGATAAGCCTTTGACATCCTTGGCATTGTCTCTCAGCTGTTCTAGTTCTTCTTTAATTACTTGCAAATAAACAGTACTAATATCCACCCATGGTCGTGATCACAGAAAACATACTACTATAACCCAGAATGCCAACCGCATGGTAAAAAGCAATAAGTGTTTTGAGAGAGCTTTGCCTGTCAATCCGTAGGCAGCGCCACCAGCGTTGCCATGCACTCAGCATAGCAACGCTGGTGGCGCTGCCTACAGATTGACAGTCAAAGCTCTCTCAAAACACCTAATGCTTTTTACCATGCGGTTGGCGTTCTGGGTTATAGTAGTATGTTTTCTGTGTCGTGATAGAGGCTCGTCTTCAATAGCCATAAATAGCGACTCTGCCATGTGCAGTTTCCTCCAATCCGGTCCTTTGTATAGAATTTTGCTGGAATCCCATTTTACTACTCTGTTCACATGTACATTATGAAAATTAAACATTGATTAGGGGCTAATTTTGATATATTGTTTGATATACTTGATACATTATTGAAAATCAAGTAATGTATTCAAATATAAATTGTATATACTACAGTAGAACCTCTTTAATCCGAACTAATTGGGACCAGGGGTAGTTCGGACTAGTGAATAGTTCGGATTACAGAACATATTGTTGTTTTTACATAACAATAGCTAAAACATGGCTAAAATTGATCTAAATTATTTTGGAAAAAGTTAAAAAAAGTTTTATAAATTAAAATACAGTGTTTATTTAACACGTTGACTGCTGAAAACAACGTACAGGCGCTCCCCAGTGGCGGGCGAAGTCCCGCCACGCAACCGAATCAGCGAACGCAATTGGCATTCAAATATTTCAGCCTGACGAATCACAAAAGAGCAGTGGTGACTGTGCTGCGTTACCCCGAGAGTGGATGTAGTTCACTGAAACACCCAAAGGTAGCAGCACTGCACGGATCCGTATCCAGTGTCTTTGTAATGTGGGTTGAAGAGAAAAAATCCCCGAAACCGGGACAAAAGCATTGCCAGACAGGATTTTACGGGAAATATTAGTACCAACCTACACCAAAGTAAAGCTCGCATTCTAAGCTGGCAGTCTGGCAACGATTATAACGTCTCCGTCTGAAGCTAAGCTCACACTGACTCAATATATTTCTGTTGGTCTGGTGCCGACTTTTGTCGGCGCGAGCCACATTGAAGTGCTAGCGACGCCGACTTTAGTCGGCGTTAGCAGTCAAAGTGTTAATACAGTAGTAAACATGGTGAATAAACAGTACTGTACATTAAATACAGTATACAATAAAGAACTGCTGTACTGTGTATAGAATACAGCAATGAGGGGTTCGGATTAGTGGACGTTCGGATTACGGGGGTTCGGATTAAAGAGGTTCTACTGTATATACTTATGTGAACTTTTTTGTATATTTATTTTATTTATATAGATATCATTTCAAATATAACTTGAACTAGGGATGGACGGGATTGAATTTTTAGTTCGGGACGGGACGGGACGGGATTTTTATTTCCTTCCCGATTTTCGGGACGGGACGGGACGGGATTTTTTTCTGTGTATAAAAAGAAAGTCTTGAGTATTGCAGTTACCAAAAAAGGCATACAAAATCAATCCTTACCGTTTGTGGCACTGATCTATAAAAACCAAAAAATGGGTAACAATTTTTCAGGTACCTGTAGAAACTTGTGACTCGCGGTTGAAAGGACTCGCGGTCACGGTGCGATCGTCGGTATGACTCACGGTCACGGCGCGATCGTCGGTATGACTCACGGTCACGGCGCGATCGTCGGTATGACTCACGGTCACGGCGCGATCGTCGGTATGACTCACGGTCACGGCGCGATCGTCGGTATGTCTCCACGGTCACGGCGCGATCGTCGGTATGACTCCGCGGTCACGGCGCGATCGTCGGTATGACTCCGCGGTCACGGCGCGATCGTCGGTATGACTCCGCGGTCACGGCGCGATCGTCGGTATGACTCCGCGGTCACAGCGCGATCGTCGGTATGACTCCGCGGTCACGGCGTGATCGTCGGTATGACTCCGCGGTCATGGCGTGATCGTCGGTATGACTCCGCGGTCACGGCGCGATCGTCGGTATGTCTCCGCGGTCACGGCGCGATCGTCGGTATGACCCCGCGGTCACGGCGCGATCGTCGGTATGACTCCGCGGTCACGGCGCGATCGTCGGTAAGACTCCGCGGTCACGGTGCGATCGTCGGTATGACTCCGCGGTCACGGCGTGATCGTCGGTATGACTCCGCGGTCACGGCGCGATCGTCGGTATGACTCACGGTCACGGCGCGATCGTCGGTATGACTCCGCGGTCACGGCGCGATCGTCGGTATGACTTCGCGGTCACGGAGCAATCGTCGAAACGACTTCGTCTCCTGCGTTCGCGGACCTATCGCTCGCAATAGCGGCGTCATCGGCACTCGCGAAGCGGCAAAATCGCCGGCGATCGGACCAAATCCCGTCCCGAAAAATTCCCGAATAAAATGTAATCCCGTCCCGATAATCGGGAATATTTTTTTCCCGAAAAATTCCCGAAATTTCGGGACCCGTCCATCCCTAACTTGAACAATTTTTGTCTGATTTGGATGAGTTTTGGCTTTAAGATGTAGGGCGGGATAAACTGGTATAAGTTTGCAAACAAGTTGATCGGCATAGGGGTTTGAAATGTTCAAAACTGGTTCACACCGCTTACCCATGATAAGGGTTATTGACAAGCTAAATGGGAGAAAGTAAAGTATGTGTCAGATAGTTTATACCAGTTATTTTACCGTTTATTTTAAATTCTTTCTCTTAAAACGTGGAAATGCTAAATTTTCACTATAGCTATTGTGTGTATAGCTTAAAAAACAAAAAAAATAACTATTTACCTTCCCCGCAGCAGCAAACCTAAGCACTCGTTAAATCTAATGTTATTTAAATGTGGAATAAAAATAAGTACTGTTTTTGAAATATTTGAGTAATAAACAGAATCAGTAATTTGAATAATTTGATACATACTCTCTCCCTTTAGCTTGCCATGGGAGTGACCCTTGTTATAGGCAAGTGGTGGGAGAAAGTATTGTGTTTATGGGTAAAATAAAAAAATGTTGCAATAACTCTTGTTCCATAGTTTTTACAGCAATAGGGGTTGTACAGTTTTGTTTGGTGTTAAAAGGACAATAATTTCATCATCCTTCTGATCTTGCCTTTATGCCGATGTACCTTTGTTTGGTTGTTGTGTGTTGTAAATGTAATAGAAACCTGGAAGGTTCCCACATGTTCATAAAAAAAAACAATGGTTTACCTCAAATTTAAAAAAATGAAGATCAATTCGGCATCAAGAAAAAATTAAGAATGTATCTGGTAGAGAAGAAAATATATACGAAATGTAAAAGAATTCCTTGAAGAATAACAATAAATATAATCCATTGACGACCACGGCGTAGATACACTTCCAGTGGGATAATTCCAAGTATCAAGGCCTTCTCTTGCATCCTGCCTGTACATCCAGCATATCTCGGTAAAATTATGAATAAATAAATGAATATTATAAATTTTGGATGAATAATCGAATGCAATTTCTTTTACCAGGAAGTGAGAAATCAGTAAGCAGTTTTTGATTTGGAATATGATGAAGCATAACTTATTTTAGCGAATTTCCCATCTAGGGAATAAGCTATTACCGTAGGTCTCATGGTAAGACCTGGACCTGGGACCTATTTGCTTTTTCGTTTTGAGGTCCCCAGTGGCTAAAAACCCCATCCGCTCAAATTCATATACTTCTATTTACTATTTTCATATATTACTATTTAGCATAATGTGGCAGAAAAGTAACGTTGTCATTCTCTGGATTAAATCACTGACAACAGTGTCAACACACAAAAACTAGTGATAGCATCCACAAATATGAGGAATGACCTTTCTCAGTGATTTGTAGGAATGATACCCCAAAATATTCCTTGTGCTAGAGTAAAACCATAGACTAGCCTACACAAGTAGACTTCTCATCCCATTGTAAATTTTGAAGCTCGTTTTTCGTGTCTAGTTCATGTAAGGTGACACTGGGTGCTAGTGTCGACCAAATTTTGTTTCTATTATTTTAGGGTATTATTTCTTGTATTGAGCTTTACTGTTTGGTTATATAACTAGGGTGTGAGTTTTTGCTTATGGTTAGCCTAGATCATATTATTTGGTTAAACAAGGTTTTAAATTACTGAAATAACAAGAAACAAAATAATTGTTATCAAAACACGACCTCTACAGCGCACTGTACAGAAACTAGGCTTCCATAAGGATGAGAAATCTACTAAGGGAGTATGTTTGATCTATGGTAAAACTATTTCAACTCTGCTATCCTATGTTACCTCTATTGGATTATTAGACATTTTACTGGATTCAAATAACATTTTCTTTCCTTGGAAATCTTAAGTTTTTAATATATTTAGAATTACTTATTTATTAGAAACCTTGACAATGTACCTGTCTGTGTATTACGTTTGTAATAACTTTAACAGATGTTATGTACAATAAAGAATTGTCATTTGTCAAATCGGTACAAGTTCCTGACTCGGGCTAACTAGCATTGCTTATACCTTGTCTACACAAATATTTAACTACAATTATCCGTAGGTATGGAAGGGACTGTGTGATTCCGAGTTAGAAGAGCATCTGAGGACTACGCCTTGTGTCGTAGAGCCGCAGTTCTCTCTCCCTGAACAACACTGCTCTCTAGCTCCTCTCAGTCAGTGGCGAGCAGCTTACCTGCGGGAACAACATCTGTGGAAGAACTGGGGAATTGGCAACTGTAAAACTGTGGAACACAAAATGGACAAAGATAAAAATTACCCAGAGCTGTTTGTCACTAATAACTTGATAATGGCGTTTTATCTTGACTCAATAGAACTGTGGGACTTGAAAACCAACCCTCCTACTAAAAAGGATTTACTACTGTTTGGTCAAATATGTTATTATACACCCAGGGCCTTAAATAATGGAATCTTTGTTTTAAAGGGTTATTCATCTAGAGGAGGTTTTGTTAAAATTGTTGAGGTAGATGTAGCCCAAGGCACTATCAATTATAAATGGCAGGTAGAATTTAATTTAGATTATTCATGTAAACTTGTGACCAGCAATACATACCTATTCAATGATTTAGGTTTAATGGAAAACATTGATCTAATAATTACTCCTGGAGGAAAGTGTATTAGTTATTTTTGGTTTTGTAAAGAAAATTACTCTTTCTATGTATGGGATTTGAAAAATGGAGTGGAACTAAGAAAGGAATGTTGTTCTACATCAAGCTTGCCAGAAGGGGGGTTGAGTATTGTGGGATGTAAAACTGGATCCAAAACATGTGAAGATATCCTAGTACTCCTTCCCAATACAATGTCACCCGATCCTCCTGGAATAGTCTCAGTGACATGTCAAGTTTATAATGTACATCAACTATGTTTCTTACCCTTCAAGCAAATTTTTCCTGTTTTTTGGGGGTTTTTAATGGATTGCAAACAAGATTCCTTCGACTACAGTGCAATAACTGACCATTTTTTGGCTCTTTCAGACTGTGATATTAAAAATCCAGAAGAGGTTTCTAATGTCAGAGTTTACAACTACAGATCTGGACATATAATACATATATTACCTAGTAGAGGGACTATTCATATCATAAATGATTCACGTTTTATGTTTAAAATGCCAAAAGCTTTTAAACAACTCACTAGGCAGAGACCAAACTCCAGACAAATGATGCCTCAAGATGATAAAACTGTTTTGTGCTCTGTTTTCTGTCCGTCTGGAGCTATTTTGGAAGATACTACAGGCTCTGACGTCAATCATTTTCGTGTTGTTGGGAAGGGACTTGTACAAATAATTTCAAGCCAAGTTATGCTTAATTTTCTTGGAAGTTCTTCAACCCAAGTTTGGATGTTGAATCAATTCTCCTCTTTTAAAACTGGTGTAGTTTTGCCTGGGTCTACACATGTAAATCGCGCCTTCACAAAGGTTATAACAAGTAATGACCCAATCTGGGAAGAAGAGGACACAATCAGAGTCACTTACTTTTGGTAATGTTATAGTGACAGTATGTTGGTGTTTATAAATGTAAGTTGTAATTGTATCATTTAATTATTTATTGTATTTCATGTAGAACTTGTATAAACAACTTGTAATGTTCATATAACTAAGGTTTCTGAAGATGGTGAGATTACAAAATGCCAGTAATTGAGAAAGTTATTTTATGGAAATTTTAAAAATAATTGCTAAATTGAATTCAACACACGCTCTTTTAACCCATGCTTTTATCAAACATAATGAAAACAATTAATTTTAATTTTTACTTTGTGTTTTTGTTTGTGTTTTTCTATTGTCATGTTATAGAGTTCAAATTAATAATAACAACACTTTTCATAACAAATAAAAAATAATCTACAGGGTCAAATTCATTAAGTATTGGGACTGGTTGGAAAAATAACAAATTATTTCAGGTATCATTACACTTTCCTAATACTCAAAAGACCAATGGAAGTCAATTTCCGGAATGCTGTTGAAAGCCGCTCTCGTCGCCGCTTGAACCGCCTCGATGGAGTCAAACTGCTGATCTTTCAGCTGCCTTTTTTCTCACGGAAATAAGGAAAAGTCAGGTGGAGCCAGATCTGGGCTGTAGGGACATAGCTCGTATAAGAGTATAGGATTTGTCTTTATGTATCGTGTGATGAAATACTTCAATAGCCTTCTAACTATTAAGTTGGATGTTCCACATATTCCTTAATTTAGGCTATTTAATTATAGCTTTCTAAAATTGCATAAATCGTTCATATGTCTGTCTACCATATAAAATTCCTCCCCCACATCCTTGCTGCTAAGGGGTTAGTTAGCTATTAAACTAAAGTATGGTATATTTTGTTATCTTTTTTTAAAAAAAAAGACCTTACCAGTGGAAGATCCAGTCCTAAAGTTTGGCTTTAACTTCCATAATTTTAAGCTGTAGGTAGGGTAAAGTTGTGTTGAAATACAGTACTGTAATACCTTTTTCATTCAATAAAATGATGGTTTGTAATTATTTTTTTTATTTGCTCCTATAGTATTTAAGCTGCAAGTAGTCAACAAATAAATTAAGATAGGCTACTTAATGAAAAAATGTTTACTAATTAATTGAAATTGCAAGAAGAAAATTATTCTCACTAATTTCTATATCTGGCCGGGGTAAAAATTCGGGCCATAAATTTTGAGCTGACCTCATGAGGGGGGTGAAATTCCGGCCCGTACACTCCAGGTTTTATAATTTGGTATGTTCTGCTTAAATTCACAACCGTTATACCTTTAATTCCACCTTTAATTTATTGAACTGATGTTGTGCATCTCAAAAGTTCTTTGCCGTAATTTTACCCCCTAGTTTGTATTGATCAGCTTGTGGTGTGGGCTTCACTCACCTTAATTTGTTAATACAGGACTCGTCAGAATGTAACACAACGAAGACACACATACACACACATAAAAAATCGTCCTTGGATTTACTCCAACGTTTCGCGGGACCAAACATATTGTCCCGCTTCAAGTAAAAACTTTTCTCTCGTGTACACGAGCTGGGCGCATAACCACGACTGCCGGATCAGCTGTTCCTGGTGAGAGAGGGAGGGCAGGGAGGTTGGTGGACGTACTGGTTATTGTAGATAAGCCTTTGACATACTTGGCCTTGTCTCTCAGCTGTTCTAGTTCTTCATTAATTACTTGTAAATAAACAGTACTAATATCCACCCATGGTCGTGATAGAGGCTCGTCTTCAATAGCCATAAATAGCGACTCTGCCATGTTCAGTTTCCTCCAATCCGGTCCTTTGTATAGAATTTTGCTGGAATCCCATTTTACTACTCTGTGTTATTTTATTACTCTGTTCACATGTACATTATGAAAATTATACATTGATTAGGGGCTAATTTTGATATATTGTTTGATATACTTGATACATTATTGAAAATCAAGTAATGTATTCAAATATAACTTGTATATACTATATACTCCTGTGAACATTTTTGTATATTTATTTTATTTATATAGATATCATTTCAAATATAACTTGAACAATTTTTGTCTGATTTGGATGAGTTTTGGCTTTAAGATGTAGGGCGGGATAAACTGGTATAAGTTTGCAAACAAGTTGATCGGCATAGGGGTTTGAAATGTTCAAAACTGGTTCACACCGCTTACCCATGATAAGGGTTATTGACAAGCTAAATGGGAGAAAGTAAAGTATGTGTCAGATAGTTTATACCAGTTATTTTACCGTTTATTTTAAATTCTTTCTCTTAAAACGTGGAAATGCTAAATTTTCACTATAGCTATTGTGTGTATAGCTTAAAAAACAAAAAAATAACTATTTACCTTCCCCGCAGCAGCAAACCTAAGCACTCGTTAAATCTAATGTTATTTAAATTTGGAATAAAAATAAGTACTGTTTTTGGAATATTTGAGTAATAACCGGAATCAGTAATTTGATACATACTCTCTCCCTTTAGCTTGCCATGGGAGTGACCCTTGTTATAGGCAAGTGGTGGGAGAAAGTATTGTGTTTATGGGTAAAATAAAAAAATGTTGCAATAACTCTTGAAACGTAGTTTTTACAGCAATAGAGGTTGTACAGTTTTGTTTGGTGTTAAAAGGACAATAATTTCATCATCCTTCTGACCTTGCCTTTATGCCGATGTACCTTTGTTCGGTTGTTGTGTGTTGTAAATGTAATAGAAACCTGGAAGGTTTCACACATGCACAATGGTTTACCTCAAATTTAAAAAAATGAAGATCAATTGGCATCAAGAAAAAATTAAGAATTATCTGGTAGAGAAGACAATATATACGTAATGTAAAACAATTCCTTGAAGAATAACAATAAATATAATCCATTGACGACCACGTTGATACGCTTCCAGTGGGATAATTCCAAGTATCAAGGCCTTCTCTTGCATCCTGCCTGTACATCCAAGCATATCTCGGTAAAATTGGCATTTTGTTACTAAATTATTAATTTTACATTAATAATCGAATGCAATTTCTTTTACCAGGAAGTGAGAAATCAGTAAGCAGTTTTTGATTTGGAATATGATGAAGCATAACTTATTTTAGCGAATTTCCCATCTAGGGAATAAGCTGTTACCGTAGATCTCATGGTAAGACCGGGACCTGGGACCGATTTACTTATTTGTTTTGAGGTCCCCAGTGGCTAAAAACACCATCCGTTCTAATTCATTTACTACTATTTACTATTTTCATATATTACTATTTAGCATAATGTGGCAGAAAAGTAACGTTATCATTCTCTGGATTAAATCACTGACAACAGTGTCAACACACAAAAACTAGTGATAGCATCCACAAATATGAGGAATGACCTTTCTCAGTGATTTGTAGGAATGATACCCCAAAATATTCCTTATGCCAGAGTAAAACCAAAGAATAACCAACCCAAGTAGACTTCTCATCCCATTGTAAATTTTGAAGCTAGTTTTTTGTGTCTAGATCATGTAAGGTGACACTGGGTGCTAGTGTTGAAAAAAATTTCGTTCTATTATTTTAGGGTATTATTTCTTGATTTGAGCTTTACTGTTTGGTTATATAACTAGGGTACGAGTTATTGTTTATGATTGATTAGATCATATTATTTGGTTAAACGAGTTTTAAATGACTGAAATAACAAGAAACAAATTGTAATCAAAACACGACCTCTACAGTGCACCATACAGGACATCCTTGAAAACCTTCTCGGGAAACTCAGCCGAGTGGATTAATTTCATCAATCTTTTTGATAGCGCTGTACACCTCAACACATCTCTGTCTCCAGTATCAAAATTGCAATACCTACTAAGCTGTCTAACTGAAGAACCTCTAAATTTAATTAAAAACTTAAACATCAGTGCATCTAACTACGAAATCGCATACAATTTGTTGCGCGATCGATACCACAATCACAGACGCTTAACTTCTTTACATTTAAATGCCATATTGGATCTTCCCATTGCCACATCTGAAAATACAAAATCAATACGTGAATTTCTAAATCATTTCCTGGAACATACACAATCACTTATTGCTTTAGAAAGTGACATCACTACAAATGACAATCCTTTGCTGTCAGCTCATTTGCTCCGTAGACTTGATAGAAATTTACGGCAAAAACTTGAACATTACCGCTCATTCAAATCATGTGAAACTCATTCGTTACCATCTGTGGACGAAATCATTAAATTTCTCAATGAAGAATGCTCAAACAGTGAAGATGCCAACCTACACTCTTCAACTTTTTGTCACAAGGCTAATTCAAAGCCTGCTCTCACATCTAGTAAAAATTACTCTAAACCAAGCACCCGCTATACTGCACTTGTAAGCTCAGATGATCACTCCACTTCTGTAAAGACATTTCCATCATGCTTTGCCTGTCAACAAACCGATCACAAAATCTACATGTGTAAGGTTTTTGCTAAGAAATCTCCAAACGAGCGTTACAAACTTGTAAAGGAGCAAAATAAATGTATTTCATGTCTTGGCAATCACACACTCAAAGATTGTCGCTCAACAGGCACATGTCTTAAATGTAAACAAAAACACCACACCTTGTTACATTTCGAAAATGTTGTAAAGTCGGTGCAGCCTCCTCCTATAGCCAAACCCTCAAAACCTTCAACTGCTACACCTTCTGTAGTCGCTTCTGCTCAACCAGAAATGTCGCTCTCGATTTCTCAGCCTGCAACTACGGTTCTGCTAGGCACCGCTCTCATTAAAATTACTGCTACTAATGGAATCTCTCATGTCTTTCGATGTCTGCTCGACAGTGGAAGTCAACTCAACTTCATGACAGAGAGGGCAGCACAGCTATTAAACGTCTCTCGTCACCGCTCTACTCACACAATCGTGGGAATCTCTGCATCGCAATCCTCGACAAAGGGACATGCACTCCTAGAACTATCCACACTAGGCAGTGAAGTAATTGCTTCAAATCAACCTTTCCATATTCTAGATAGAATTTCCGCTCCTTTGCCTCGTACTCAACTCTCTTTTGAGGTTTACAAACTGGTAAAACCTTTTGTCCTCGCAGATCCGACCTTTCATATTCCTCAGAATATTGACATTCTCATAGGAGGTGCTTTGTTTCCAGAACTTCTTACTCATCAATCCTACCCATTGGGCTCAAACCTTCCATTCGTTATTGGAACACGATTGGGATTTGTGTTAATGGGCAATGCACCAACTTTGTCTAACTCTTCTCCCACCTCATGCCATTCATCTCTACTATCCACTACAGACGAGTTACATAATACTCTACTTCGCTTTTGGCAACAAGAAGAGGTACCGCAGTGCAATCTTATCTCTGAAGATGATCGCCTCGCTGAAGATCACTTCAAATTAACTCACTCCCGCTCTCCAGATGGAACATATGTGGTTCAACTCCCTTTCAAGGACCAACATCAACCTCTGGGCACTTCAAAATCTGCTGCTGAACATAGACTTCACTCAATTGAACGAAAGTTTGAATCCAACTCTAATTTCAAGGAATTGTATACACAGTTTATGACTGAATATGAACATCTCGGACACATGGTCAAAGCATCCCCTTCCGATCTTTCGCAACCACACTACTATCTGCCTCATCACGGTGTACAGAAGGAAACCAGTAGTACAACCAAACTTCGTACAGTTTTTGATGGTAGTTGCAAAACCAGTACCGGTGTCTCACTAAATGATATTCTTTTAACCGGTCGCAAACTTCAGATTGACATTTGTGACATTTTGCTGAATTTTCGTTCACATAATTATGTGTTCAGTTGCGATATAAGGAAAATGTATCGTTGCATTCAAGTTCATCCTGACGACCAGAAGTATCAGTTAATTCTATGGCGTGATCCAAAGACTCAAGAAATCTCCACATACAAATTAACGACAGTTACATACGGTCTAAGCAGTTCACCTTTCCATGCCATCAGAACGTTACATCAACTTGCTGACGACGAAGGAGGGTCGTTCCCAGCAGCAGCCAAAGTTCTACGGGATAATACGTATGTGGATGACGTCATCTGAGGAGCTCATACTCTCAACGAAGCGAAAGAACTACGAGATCAGCTGATTGAACTTCTTGCACGTGGTGGTTTTGAGCTAAGAAAATGGACATCCAATTGCCCAGAAATACTCCAAGATTTGCCTCAAGATCATCTAGAAGCACCAGTCTTTTTGGAAGCCACTAATCACCCTCATTTTGCCATTCTTGGACTACATTGGTCACCCATTTCAGATTGTTTCACTTACAACTTAAGTCTCCCTGATGGTCCTCCTACAAAACGATCAGTGCTGAGCATTATAGCACGCATTTTCGACCCTACCGGATTTTTGTTATCCGTGACCATGTGGGCAAAAACCCTCATGCAAATACTCTGGTCACAGGGTATCCAATGGGATGACACTCTTCCAAATGAACTCGCCGAAAAATGGCACATTTTCGTTGATGAAACCTCTCTCCTTTCAAGTATTAAGATCCCTCGCTCGTTCCATTTCACTACCACATGTTCCTTAAAACTCCATGGATTTTCAGATGCCTCCGAAGTAGGATACTCAGCAGTCTTATACTTCCGCTGTGAGTTTTCAACTGGAGAAATCATCACTCGTCAGATTCTCGCAAAAACACGTGTAGCTCCTTTGAAACGTGTTACTCTACCCCGCTTGGAACTATGTGGTGCACACTTACTTGCAAAACTCACAACTTACTGTTGTACAATTTTCAAAGAAAAGATTGACCTTTCTCAAACTACATTGTGGTGTGATTCATCAGTAACCCTCACTTGGTTACACACCCCCTCATATCGACTTAAAACGTATGTTGCCAACAGAGTTGCTCAAGTCCAAGAATTGATCCCCTCTCACTCCTGGCGCTACGTTCCCTTAACAGACAACCCCGCTGATTGTGCGTCACGTGGTTTGCTTCCCGCTCAACTCATTGATCATCCTCTATGGTGGAATGGCCCTCCATGGTTAATTCTTTCAGATGATCATTGGCCATCTAATCGCTTCGTCCCCATAAACTTGCAAGACACTCAAGAATGTAAAACTACTCCTCTAAATGTCCTAGTTTCAACCCAACCTCCAGAATGGGATCTTCTCTCCAAGTACTCATCGTGGTCCAAACTACTTAGAGTAACAAGCTATGTCTTGCGGTTTATCCACAATACACGTAACTCTGACCGAAGACATGGGCATCTCACCGTCTCTGAACTTAAGAACTCAGAGCGTACGATCATCAAGTGTGTACAAGCTACATGTTTTACGAATGAATTGACTCTACTTCGCAAAAACAAACCCAGTACCTCTAATCTTCAACGTTTAGACCCTTTTCTGGATGCTTCCGGCATAATTCGTGTGGGAGGCCGGCTTAAGAAGCTATCGCTGAAATTCAACGTCAAACACCCAATAGTACTTCCAAAGAAGCACCATATTGTTGATCTGAAGACTCAACACGGTTACCTTACTAGACCAGTTGTTAAAGTGTTCCCTCTCCCTCAAAACTAAGCCATACAACTTAGAAAGACCTGTAAATAGCTGTAAATAATATTCAGAATATTCTTCAGTGTTCCGTTTTTTACACAATTTGGTGTTCATTGTTATAAAACTATCGTTTTATGGAGGCCGGTATGTTCAGTAAAGGCCAGCTGACCATATGAGCATATTAAAATAATCCCCACATGTCAACAACAATACAATAATAAAATTTTAAAAATGTAAACATTCCAAGGTAAACATTCTGGTTCAACAAGTGAAATTTTTTCTCTCTTGTAATATCGTTTCTTTGTGTAACATAATTCATTTCTCTCTCCTTTTATTTTGACTTATTTAATTTACCTTTTCCTTTTGTGTTCATTAAATAAACCTTTTTTAATTTGACTCTAAATTCTGTGTACCGTGAGAACATTTGGACATTCATGAAACATATCTTCTCAACTAGAGACAACATTCGACCAGATCTTCTTTCAAGACCTTAATAACGTCAAAGTGGTAACATAACTATAGTTCAGTGTTAAAATTTATACCAAAAGTCCATTATTTTCTGTTGTCAAAATTAAATTAATAACCCATATACAGTCCACTTTATTATTTCTACAATAACCTTTTGATTACGCTACAGTGTTTATGGGTAAAATAAAAAAATGTTGCAATAACTCTTGAAACGTAGTTTTTACAGCAATGGAGGTTGTACAGTTTTGTTTGATTTTAAATGGACAATAATTTCATCATCCTTCTGACCTTGCCTTTATGCCGATGTACCTTTGTTCGGTTGTTGTGTGTTGTAAATGTAATAGAAACCTGGAAGGTTTCACACATGCACAATGGTTTACCTAAAATTTAAAAAAATGAAGATCAATTCGGCATCAAGAAAAAATTATGAATTATATGGTAGAGAAGACAATATATACGTAATGTAAAAGAATTCCTTGAAGAATAACAATAAATATAATCCATTGACGACCACGTTGATACGCTTCCAGTGGGATAATTCCAAGTATCAAGTCCTTCTCTTGCATCCTGCCTGTAAATTCAAGCATATCTCGGTAAAATTGGCATTTTGTTACTAAATTATTAATTTTACATTAATAATCGAATGCAATTTCTTTTACCAGGAAGTGAGAAATCAGTAAGCAGTTTTTGATTTGGAATATGATGAAGCATAACTTATTTTAGCGAATTTCCCATCTAGGGAATAAGCTGTTACCGTAGATCTCATGGTAAGACCGGGACCTGGGACCGATTTACTTATTTGTTTTGAGGTCCCCAGTGGCTAAAAACACCATCCGTTCTAATTCATTTACTACTATTTACTATTTTCATATATTACTATTTAGCATAAAGTGGCAGAAAAGTAACGTTGTCATTCTCAAGATTAAATCACTGACAACAGTGTCAACACACAAAAACTAGTGATAGCATCCACAAATATGAGGAATGACCTTTCTCAGTGATTTGTAGGAATGATACCCCAAAATATTCCTTGTGCCAGAGCCTTGAGTTAAACCATAGACTAGCCTACACAAGTAGACTAGGTCTAAAGACACAAGAACACACAAGAAAACACAAGAACAATAAGTCTAAACAACTTGAGGAAACAAATAACAATACATTAAAAGGACCATCGCAAGAACTAAATGGCAATAATGAAACAACTACTATAAATGATGAAGAAAAAAACATCTGTATATTCGCTGATAGTCATGGTCGACAAATAAATCAAATTCTATCATCAAGTCTGCCAGAAAAATACAAGCTATATGTAAATACAGCACCTGGAGCTCCTTTGGAATATGTAATGAAAAATGCAGAGGAAAATATAAAAAGAATGAAAGGAAATGATGTAACAGTTTTAATTGCTGGGTCTAATAGTATTGAAAAAATGCTAGAACAAAAATGTGACCCAACTGACAAAATACCAGAAGTTTTTGACCACTTTTCAGCAGTTAACAAACATACGAATGTTTTAGTAGTTCCACTTTTTCACAGATTTGACCTTCCACCTCAACACATCATAAATAAAACAATTAGGAGAGTAAATTTTACTTTGAGGACGACAGACATAAACATAGTTGACTGCAGACGCTTAAGAAGGACCCACTTTACCATGCATGGACAACATCTGAATAGGGAAGGTAAACATGTTTTGAGTGAAGAAATTCTGAAGGAAATGAAATATAACAAGCTAAATTACACAAATCAGCTCCCTAAAGAGATCAAAGTTGTTGAGGCCAACATGAACCAGCTATTTGATGATTTTAGTAAATGTGAGAGCCTGGCCTTCTCCCACTGTATATCGGCAGATCTGACAAGTGAAAGGAATATGACGGCGGGAGTTGCTGTGAAATTCAGAGAAAGGTTTGGCAGGCCTACCAAGAGTGACTACTGTGATGAACATTTGGTTTACCAGAAAACCAACGGATCCTCTGTCTACGGCTTAGTGACAAAACCAAAATACTGTGATAAACCAAAAACAGAAGTATACAATGCTGCTTTCCAAGAACTAACAACTGACTTTACCAGGCGATCCTTTAATAAGCTGATTTGCTCACCAATGGGTTGTGTGCGGGATGGAGTACCACTGGAACAATTTGCTGCCAACATAGTCAACTTTCAACGGAAGACTAAAGCTACTGTCATAGTAGTAGCCTACTACCAATCCTCTACAAGAACACTGTTCAATGGTTACTCATACAAGGACTTTATACACAAACTGAAAGACTCCATCTCTGAACAATATCAACAGAAGGTGTTCGATGAGTCATCTCACATAACCATCAACTGTAGTCAAGAAACCATCAAAACTCGGGAAGAGGATGCAGTGAGCGAACATCAGCCTGTCTCACCTACCACGACCAGCCCCTACACGGTCCCTGGAGTCCTTGACTACAGTGAAGTAGTGAAAATGTGTGATCGTGTTAGTGGTGAAAAGCAGAGCACTAGTGAAATCAGTAACGTCTGTAGTACAAATCATTACAGTGTGTCAGTGTCCTCCGATACCATAAGTCATAGTAATACGCATTTTTTGTCTCAGAGTCCTCACCATTCACCCCCTCCGGACGTCCTTTAACTATTCCATCTACGATTACCCTACCACCTTATCACATATCCTACATAACTGGACCACCTAATCAACCACCTAGAAACCACCTCTCTCAAAGTCCACCTCAAAAATGTAATTATCAAAATAAGTCTACAGTTAAATTATTCCATCAGAATATTGAACATTTGAAATCCAAAATTGAGGCTTTGCAAATAACTTTGAATGAAATAAAAGCACATATTGTTATCTTGACAGAACATGATATGAAAGAGGAAGAAATTGATCGCTTAAATATAGAATACTATTCTGTAGGGTCATATTTTACTCGGAAGCTGTCACGCAAAGGTGGAGTAATGTTACTATCTACCAATGATATGAAACAAAAAATAGTTACAATTCCTGACTCTTTGAAAAATAAATTAATAGAAGAAAAACAGTTTGAATTTTGTATATGTAAATATTTAATTAATAATTTTGAAATAGTAGT